GCAAAGAAAATAGAAAATATTTGCCATCTGAGGACTCGTTTACGGAAACGAAAGAAGAAACCCCAAGGTAAGTATTCACTGTTCTTTTATTGAACATTTTGGAACAGACGATCTTTTTTCAGAGAAAATGTTTTGATTACTCTGTCAGAGCTATAAATTTATTTTTAATATATTTTTGACTGTATAAAGCTAGTGCCGTTATAGTTTTTTAAACATTTATTTAAAACCTAAACGCAATGGCTTTATTCTGTTTGAAGTAAACTGATTATTTGATAAAAAATTTCAGATATTGCGAAAGTGAGGTATGCTTTCAAATATATGCAAAAGTGATACACAGTTTAATTCGAACAATCCAACCTCACCGAACTGAAATTTCAGCTACACCGTTAGCTCAGAATTAAAGGGGAAAAGTAACTAAAGAAACAAGCAGGCGCAATGTCATCGCAAAAACGAATTCGTATAGTGCTGCCACCTATATTCTTTTCCTCAAACTAATACTTAATTTGTCAAATGAATTTGTTCCGTATTTTTGCATCTGAAATACGATTAATTCTAAACTATTAAAATGTTATTGATTTGATTGCGTTACTGAATGCTAAGAACGGTGCGTGCCGAAAGTTTATGATCGCTATATAATATTTTATGAAAGTTGCAGTTTCTTGCATAAATATACATATCAAAATAGATTAGATTCGGTTCTTTTCTTTGTTCCCCTTTCTTTTTCTTTTCTATCATTTATTTTTCCGAATAAAACAGTCAGCAAGTCAAAAAACTATTAATAACACGTCGCTGCATTATGCAAAATATAAATTCTTTAAATTTTATACTTTTTTCAATTCTGTATTTGCATTATGTACGAGTGTGTACGTATCTAACTGCAATAAAGTACAGTCAAAACATTTTCTATTAATGTGAAATAGAAATTCAGCCTATTTCTGATTGTGGCTTCTAGAGTTGATGATGTGAAATGTTGCTGCATTATGCAAAATATAAATTCTTTAAATTTTATACTGTTTTCAATTCTGTATTTGCATTATGTATGAGTGTGTACGTATCTAACTGCAATAAAGTACAATCAAAACATTTTCTATTAATGTGAAATAGAAATTCAGCCTATTTCTGATTGTGGCTTCTAGAGTTGATGATGTGAAATAATATGGAAAATATTTTCTAAGGAAATATTAATTCATATATTCATAGCAAATATTAGTATAGTAAAATAAAATATAAGTCCTTATAATCCAAGGTTTAATCGAGTCAGTTGTATAATCGATATTGCAAACGGCTTCTATAGCCCCTTAATTTTTTTAATAAAACTGCTGGTAAAGTAAATAATAATAATCAAATCAGATTTTAAGTGCTTAGTTAAAGATCTGGTGGAATCACTTTTCCTTCTACAAGTAAACAATTTTTTTTTTTTTTTTAAATTTATTCTTAGTTTAATGAATTTTATATTAATAGTTTGTCACTTTATTCTCTAATATTATTACTTTTATGTTTTCTAAGTATATTAAATGAAATTCTTCTGCCTTAAGGTTCAGGGAGTACTTATTGTTTCTATTACCGAAGATAAATTAAGCCACCAGAGTTATGATCAATATAAAAAGAGAGCCTGAAAATTCAAGCTAAAACTGTTCAATGTCGGCTTGAATCGTCAGGAAAGTTTGTCATCCTACCATCACCAGAGTTTTTCATTACTATATCTAAATGCCTTGTTATCGTATTTTAAATGCCCTTTTTGTTATTGCTGTAAAAATGTATTTTTTAATAATTAAGTATTTAAGGGGTATCAGAAATCCCCATACCAACAATGTTAAATTGGTCATTTTCGATGTACCTTTCCTCAAAATCTGCTGTAGATACAAGCTTGAAATTTTTTGTGTAATTAAAATATACCTATCTGATTATACTGAAATGAGCTTTTGAAACATTTTGAATTTTGAATAAATTACAGGAATATTTTGTTAGGCATAGTAATAATTTAGCACTTTACTCACACAAAAAAATTTTTAAAAAAAAATTTTCTTAGTTTATTACATAAAAGCTCATTTCAGTAAATATTAGAGGAAGCCTAAATAAATAAGCCATAAAAAGTTTTCGATACCTGTGAGCCAGTAGTTCCTGAGAAAAGGTACATCGAGTATAAAAAAATCACGTTTGGAGAAAAACGCGTTTTTATGTAAAAATCCTCATTGATTAAAGCAGTAGATGTCAAATTAAAACGAGATTTTTTTACAGTTTTAATTTTCATAGAGATTTAAAGAATGGTATTTTTAGAAAGATAAAAGTGTAGAGAATTTGAAAATGCAAAAAACCGAAATCACAATTTTTTGAAGATTTTGGGGTTCCAACTCCCCTTAAAAGTTGAAAAAGGTTTTACAAAACAAATACATGTAATAAATTTATACTGAAGTGTATTTTATGTTCTATTAATTATGATAATTAATACTTTGTTTGATAGTCATTGTCATTATTTTCATGAAGTACTAAATTTAGATTCTTGAAGTTCTTGAAAGCAAAATGGATGGAGAGGAAAGGAGCCACCCTTTTTTTTAAGCCCTATAAGGACGTTAGTCCCAAATGGACATTAGTGTCGAAATGGCATTTTGCTTTGAATCACTATAAACGGCGTATCACTTTTTTAATTATTGTCGCCAAATATTATCGCCCTGTGTTTCATGTAAGTATTAAAAAATCTGCATGAACGTATGCATGATTCTCACTTCGAAAAAAAAAAAAAAAAAAGTTTTTTTTTTTTTTTTTTTTTTTTTTTTTTTTTTTTTTTTAACCTGTAAAATCTGAAACTTTTCTTTCTCTCTTTGTCTTCCCCCCATGAAGTCCCCCCTTTTTTTAATATCATAAGTTCATTTTATATGTTAGTTGTTTTATTTTATTTCACTTACAATAAAAAGAATAGACTTTTTAAACAAAAGTCAAATTGTGTTTTTACTGAAGAATGTCTCTGCACGAAATATGTTTGATGTAACGTTTTAATTGCATTTTAAATTTCTTTCGTACTTTTGCTTTCTAATTTTAATCCTAGTTCATTTAACGTATTAAATGTATATGTTATGATTCAATTGCCATTGTTAACAATAAGCAGTCATTATAAATATTTTCATGTGTCCAAGTACCGATGAGATTGTTTAAATAGTCGGCATAAGAAAGGGTCTTACGCCTCGAATAACCCCAGACCTGTAATTCTATATTTCTTCAGTATATATTTTTAGCCTACCAAAGGCCAAATGATTGAATTGCTGATATTTTGTCTAGGGAATTTTGTCTACCCTGAGGGTATAGCCAATACCTATGTTATACCTTCAGTGTGCATTATACCTCGTTATTTAAAAGTATACCTGCGGTATGCTCTTAACTGTTTTTCGGAATTGGTAATATAACTACTGGTCACTGTAAGAATGTTTTTTAAAAAAAGTTTCCTCTTAGGTTCGATAGTTTTCGCATGCGTTATAGCTTGCTATCCTACTTGTCTTCGTTCTAAGAACTATATTAACACTTTGCTAAAAGTTTATATTGTTTTCTTTTCTTAAATTTCATCATTTAAATTTTTGAAAACTAATAGAAAATCATTCAAAAAACATTTCTACGTTTTTTCATAGTTTTCTTTGAAATTTGATAATCTTCGTTTGCTACTATAATTTTGCTGTATTTTATGCAGTTTCAAATAACCCAGTTCTGACTACATGTGATTCAAAAACACTAACCGTATCAACGGGCGGGCAGTTTTATACACAGTTGTGAAGCATTTTTTTCATTTGGGAAAACTTTTAGAAAGCTAAATTAATTCAATAGGTTGGCTTTTAATTGATTCGATACCTGTGTCTGGCTGTGTTTGTTTGTATGTTATCATATCTTCCCCTTGCAATGTAATATCGGTCATTCCTTGTATTGCACCCTGTGTGGCACGGCTGGTGATTGTACTTAGATGTAATTTCTGATGAATGCTTAATTGACAAATAGCGGGTTACATGAATAAGCAATACTGCTTATTCATGTAACAAGAAAGTTGCATTACAAATATTATGATGTTAGTAAACTGCACCGGAAACGTCTTGATCAAGCTGCAGTAAACCGATCTAAGTTTTATACGTTTTTATAGAATTGCATTGTCTCTCATAGCAGTATTAAATCATTCAGTTGAATTTGAAAAAGAAAAACTATTAATAATGTTCTATGCAATTGTTGTAAAATTTGTAGTGTGTAATAATAGATGTTTCTGTCAGGAATTCTCTCTCACATATATTTTTTTGGTAATTTTTTAAATAATTTTTTTTTTCATTGCCTCGTAATTATTTCTACGCTATTCTTACTTATGCTAGAATTTACGTTATATTATAAATGATGCATAACTAAGCCAAGGGACATGTTTAATTATTTAGGGCATAGGATAAGTTTATACGTTATATAAACTGTTTTATACAATGGATTTGAACATGAGCGGTTTTTGAATATTACCGGTAACTATCAACCAGTAACCAGATAAGATGCGAGGCTACTGTACCTTATAAAACTGCCATATTTAATTAATTTTATTTTACTGATAAAGAAACTAACTTAATTTTAAAAAATTAAGAAACACCTTTATAAAAATATTTCGATTATATATGCATTTGGAGGCTTCTGTTTTTTAAGACAAGGCTTTATTTTTGATTCACTTATTTATTAAATTAGTAACTTTCAGATTGAGGAAAATAGTTATCCAATTATAATATAAACTATGAAGATTAACTTTTCATTTCAAGAAAATAAACTACGAAGATTAACTTTTCAATTTCCTATTCAGCTCTGCTGATTTTGCAGTTGAAGCGTTAGTCATTTTTTCCTCTTTGTTGAAATTCATTTTAAATAATATTAAACTAAAATAATACAGTGTTAATTATAAAAATTTACTTTTGATTCGAATAAGTTAAACTTCTAAAATGTAAAACTTGTAAAACAGTAGAATCTAATTATTATGCTTCATTTCATTATTTTCACTTCAGGATTATGTCTTCCATCCTTCGTCCTTCCAAGGTAGAATTGAGTGTGATCCTCCTAATCATAAAATATATCATTTCAATGGCTGCATGTAAGTATGAGGTTGCTTTTAATCATTCATGTATTTAAATTGCATGCTATTTCATGAATTCTTTTCACAGGGCTAATGAGAAAACTACCAATTAAATTTACTCCGTGTGTAATATAAGTATGAAATTATGTATTTTTCAAGGATTTTATTTTAATTTTTTATTGCTTACTAAGCATTAGATTAAACCTAATTTTTAGTTGTATTTGTTAAAAAGATATGTATGTAACGTATTATTGAAAGTCTGACTATTAAAATTATTTTTACTAATTTAGGTGCAAGGCGTTTTTTTCAAACATATTATTTACGTATTTTAAGCAATAATTCATTCATATTTCTCCATTTAATAAGGAGCATGTTTACAATAATTTATGTTTAGAATATTACCGTTAATTGCTGACCTAATGACGGTATTTCATGCTAAATTTTGAGCAGATTGCCGAGACGGATCATCTTGTAATCGCCTCTAATTTTCATTTTTACTCAGAAAAGCAATAAATTGAGTTAGGCCTCTGGTAAAATTGTAATTAAATTTCAACCCCTCTAAATTAGAGTCTGTGAAAAGGATGGAAAATTCAAGTTTTTTTTTTCTCTTAATAATGTTCGAAGTTATATATTGACATAGCCATTAACAAGTATATCGATCCACGTGGTTTATCCCCGTAACATAAACACTAAATTTTCAGATTAATCTTTGAGTAATTATTTGTAATTTACGCTGGTGTCGAACACAGAATGTAGTTATATGTGCACATAGCTTAATTCATAATTTGTTTAATAACCATTGTAACAATTATCAGTTATGACTATCAAAATGAACTGATGAATTATCAAGGACATGTTTAGAAGAAAAGTAAAAATATGCAGAACTAGGAATAGTCAATTTGACAGAAGAGTTCTAAACCTGAAAGGGAAAAATGTGTAACAGTATTTGTTTTAACATTAATGTAAATGTACAATTGGAGGGGGGTAAAGGTTAGCAGAAAAAAGATTATTTATATCTTTTTTAATTTAGGTTTGTTGATTTATATTTTTATAGAGAGAATATAACATTTGAAACTGAACTAATTTACTAGCTCAGCTCATGAGCTAGTAAATTAGCTCAGTTGCGCATTTTAAGAATAATAAATGTAACTATGTAATAAGGTATAAAATATTAAATGTAACTATGTTAATAATGTAGCTATGTTATATATGTGCAAGTATTGCGATGTCTATTTTCCTTCAGTGAATTAAAATATTTTTTTGCGTTTTATTGAGTATTATTATTCAGATGTGCATACGCAAATTTCATTAACCATATTTGAATAAATTCTCAAATAATATTTTTTTAAAAATGAATTTGTCTTCCATTTTGTGCTTAATAGTACGATCGATTCATGTTTCTTTAATTGATAAAGTCTGTATTTTTACAAAAACTGTTGCATTGGTCTAAAAGAAATTATTGTTTTTGTAATCTTTTTCCCATTTGCAAATTACTGTATGAATTTCTTTTATGGTCTGTATGAATCCCTAAAATTGAAAGTTCACTGTATTACATTTTTATTCTTCTTAATTAAAGCTTGTAAATGTTCTAATAATTATTTTACTTCCTTCTTTCAACTCTTAAGAACTCTACCTACTGGTGTCAAAGTGCCTATTAGCAAAGAAAACCTCCTCTTGAAGGACTGCTTGCTGAAGAATACAGATTTTGTTGAAGGCATTGTAGTATATGCTGGTGAGACTGTCTTTTCTGTTGCTGAATGTGATAATATATGTGAAATGAAAATTGTTATGCTGTATTCCTGTTGATCAATTAAGGGTTAAACTCCAATTTAAAAAAAAAAAAAAAAGTTAAAGTGGTAATCAAAAATTCTCTCCATGTAGAAATAAATGCGAGTAGCAAAAATTGCAAAGATAGGTAGTTAAAAATTTGTTCCCAAAACAAAAAAAGAGCACTTAAAGTAAACACTTGCTGAATGAGGATCTGCAAAATGCAGTTTTGCGTATACACTTATCATAATTGTTTCTGCTTAATTTGTCCGACACCAAAATTTCATTTATACACAGTGCAACATTCAGTCATTAACAATGGATGCTTCCTGGAATCAACTCGGGCTAGCAGTTATAAACAGTTTTAATGGATTTCCATCGACTGAAAACGAAACCAATTGTACAAATTGCAAAAGCACTTGGCAACGTAGGATTTTAAAATATGGAAGAAATCGAGAAATGACGAACAAATGTGGAAATGTATGATCTGAACACCAGCCTACAGTGAAAGCAATGGTAATGTAGAAGATAAAGCGCCTTTAACATGCAATAACATAAACGAATTCTTAAAAAAGGCAGAGGAACTGTCTGATTTTCCAATGGAGAGTGATCAAAATGAAGAAAGAAGACAGTATATGAGAGGCATTGAAAAACTTTGTGCTCCTTACCATAAAATTTTTAAAGATTTCATTGGTCATTGTCCCAAGCAATAATCACCAACTTAAAAAAAATAATAAAAGAATCATGTATTATTAAATAATAATAATAGTCCTTTCAATTAACATTTATATTGCATCTTTCTTTTGATTACAATATTCGGTTTGTTTAAAGTATACATACATTTTTAGTCTGAATTATACCTAATATATTTTTATAGCTAACTTTGCAGAACGTGATTTGGCCATATGTTCAATGCATTAATGATATAATCCTGACGTTTGTCAAGGGCTTACTGTTCTATGAGCAGAAGAAAAGAATTATTCAGTCTTGCATTTTTCCATTAGGAGAAAAATAGTTTAGTCAATTAATTCAAAGTAGAAAATAAAATTTTATTTTGAAAGCAGTTGTGTAGTAATTTTTGTTGAATGAACTTTAATTATAATTAATGTAAAACAAATAAAAAATCTGGATTAAGTTTGATTGTTCAGTTGCTTTGTTCCTCATTAGATATTTAAAAAAACAGGGAAAATGATTCAGTATTAATGGATAAAAAATAGATGCAAAATGATGATGAAATTAAAACAAAGCTGCGTAGAAGAGGCAGTTGTATATAATAAATATAGTAGTACAAATAAGTAAAATTGCTAGAAGTTATTTCTCTTTTTATCTGCTTAACTAAATGATAACTATGTACTTATTTATTTTGTGTTCTGTTTTTCTATTTGGCTAAATTAGAAGTTCTCCCTTCTTTCCCCCCACCCAAAAAAAAAAAAAAAAAAAAAAAAAAAAAAAAAAAGTCTATTTTATCATGTTTTGTGGGTAATGGTCTGAACCTCATCATTGAATCAAAAGCCAAAATTAATAATTTTGGGGAATAAAATGAAATAAATCATGCATTACTTATTCAAATTCTGAATTGTATTTGATAAATATGCATAACACAAAATGCACTGACATTCCTTCTAATGACTGTATCATATAATCTTTTCATTTTGTAACTGTAATAAAGTAATTTTAACATATGTTATGAAACAAAATAGTACTCCATTCCATCCAGATTTTTATGATTTTTCCTCGTATCTTCATGTTAGATTCAGTATTTATTTCAACTTTTATGTTATCTTATTGTATAAATGTAAATTTTAAAAATATTTTATGGTGTTGTAAATATTAAAAACAATCTATGAATCATTTTATTTAAGGTCATGAAACTAAAGCAATGCTAAACAATGATGGTCCTCGCTATAAACGCAGCAAATTAGAAAAACTTATGAATCGTGATGTTATGTTTTGCATAGTGATGCTAATTTTACTGTGCCTTTTAGGAGCTGTAGGTAAGTTAATATGTTGTTTGAATGCTATTTTTTTTTTTTTTTACTTTTTTTACTTTAAAAGATGAAATTATTAAATGAACCCAATTATGACCCAATTAGTAAATGAACTTTTTAATAAAGTTAGGGGTAATACTAATGGATTTCTTTATATGATTTACTTCTATATGGAAATTACAAAGGAATATAATTTTATTTTGATTCATTTATCTAGGCTATGGATTGTGGTTAGGCTCCTTTGATAATATGGATGCAGTGCCTTTTCTTGCACAGTTTTATTTAAATGAACGAAGTGAAGTATACACTGAAGCATTTTTAATATTTTGGACTTTTGTAATTGTATTACAAGTAAGTTTTATGTATTATTAAAGTTTCCAAAATTAAATTGATATCATACTTGATTTGCAATTGAATGAAAATGAATGAAGGAATGAAATCTTTCTTAAAATGTGATACTTTATTTGCATTAAAATTGCAAAAGCGGGGTTATTAATAATTATTTCATTTGAAAAAGAAAAACCTATTAATCTTTACTTCTAAAAAGTAAACTATTATTAATTATAAATGCATAATCTTCTGATTATAATCTTTACTTATAAAAAGTAAAGTATTATAATTTAAAATTCAGAGGCTTCTGATTATTTTAAGTTGATTTTTATATTTTATTATACTTAATAATTTTAATTCTTGAGAAATATAATAACAGTTTTTATACTATGGGTGTAATCATTATTAGTTTCATTCTGAATGGTGTTTCCAGTTGTGAGAGACACTGTTTATGATTTATTGCTTATTACTTGAATTTAAAAAAAAAAAAAAAACTTTTTCATAAAAGGGATTTTAATTTGATATATTTTCCAAGGCAAAAACCCTTGTTTGCTTTTGCAAAATAAACTATTTATTTTGCTCTGCTGATTGTTGTTTAAAAAATATTATATTCTTCTGGGGAAAAAATGAAAAAGAAATTGAATTTGTAAAACTAATTTTTATGAGGCTTACAATCTGGAAATGAATTCTTCATTTCTGTATCAATCTTATCTTACCATTAGGATAATATTAGAATATGTGAATTTTTATGAAATTATTTTTACCCATCTGTTTATGTTTTTAATCATTTCATTTTAGGTCATGATTCCATTATCTCTGTATGTCACAGTAGAAATTATAAAATTAGGTCAGGTTTATTTTATTCATGAAGATTTCAACTTATATGATAATTCTTCAGATACAAAACTTGAGTGCCGTGCATTAAATATTACAGAAGAGCTTGGGCAAGTGGAATATGTTTTTTCAGACAAAACAGGTACGCTGACAGAAAACAATATGATATTTCGAAGATGTACTATTGGTGGAGTAGATTACAACCATGAACGTTCATTTTCTGAAAATTCCAGAAGTAAGTGGTTTCACTTCATCTTAGAAAAAGTTATTTTTATTTTAAACTAAATTTATGAATATGCATTGTTTTCATATTAAGTTGTGGGTAACTATTTTACTAAACACTACTAAGTATAAAATTATTCATTAACTGTCTACTTATTATATTAATTGTAGACATTTAAAAAAATGTATTAATAACTATTAATAAGAAAATAATTTAAGAACATTTTCAAAATTAAGTAATTAATCTCCTTGCGATCTTATACGGATGTATGTAAAAAATAGTTTATTACATGAGAATTTTTATGATTTTTCATTTATTTACTGATTTTCTGCATGTGTTTCTTTCCAATTATATTTAGTCTTCAATATTGCAAAGCAAAAAGTTACATACATGAAATGGATTGTTATGCAAATTTAGATATAAAATATTCAAACTCTAATTTCCCTGTATTTTCATTCTAAATTATGAATATGAAATATAATATCAGATTTAATCTCGTTACTCTAAAATGTTTTTTTCCCCATCACATTATTTTAGTTACTTCAGACTACCACAATGTAAGTGTGACTCAAAGTCTCAACATTTCAGAAATAGGATTAATCCGCAAAAGGAGAATGAATTCTTCAGATTGCCATTTTATATCTTTTTTTAATAGTAACATAAAATATATATTCTGCTTTGCTCATGAGTGTCAATGTAGGCTCATGCTTCATTAATACTTATGAAAAGATGTTTTTAATCTTCAGAAGAAAAACAATAAATTCTAATCTTGTTTGCCAGTTTCTTTCCCTTTTATAGCTTTGCTGAAAATTGTTTTTGTTTACTGGAATAACTTCCATGTAATATGTATTTTCATATTAATAAAATAACATTAATGCAGAATAAGAAGTTGTATGTTTTGTATAAATACTTTTATACTGCATAAGCACTCTTAGATAATTTCATTAGTTCACTTTAGAAGGGGGCTGTTTGCTACATCTTTTTTCATCATTTTTTACATCTTTTTGCTCATCTTTCGTAATGCTTAAGTTTTTCTCCATTACAAATTTGTTATTGTACATTGATGTTCTCTAAAATATGTACTGTGATTTTAAACTCTTGACAGATTACTGAGAATACAAGAAATTAGTTTAAAATGATTTATTTCAAGTGTGAGTGACTTGAATAAACTGAGCAATTGTTATCTTTTATTTCTTGGGAGAATAAAATTCTAGAATGTGTGATATTGCTTTATTTTTTTAATTCAATGTATAAAGCCCTAAAAGTTTATGAATAGAAAGTTAAATGCTTTGCTACTGTTAAAATAATATGCCCATTGATAATTTCACAAATTATTTCAAACATTTTAAATTCATGTTTCACACACTCTTTTCTTTATTTTTAATCTGGTAAGCCAGTTTACTCACATGAGTTTTCATGACAACAACACTTCATATGCTGGCACAAACACCCACCATGCTGTTTTCTTGCATCTTTCTATATGTAATTTTCAATCTTAAGTTATTTAACAATAAGAGATTTTCATACTATATAATTACTATCTATAAGTAATTACTTTATTTCTTCAGATACTTTTCCTTCCTAGAAAATCTTTTTCTATATTCGTAATTTATACTTAGGTAAAGGCAGTTGTTGTAATTCATAATTTATACTTAGGTAAGATAGTTTTTGAAAAAAAATTAAGTCTTAGTTGCAGAAATAAAGATCTGAGTATTCTTCTTTTCTTCCCATTATGTTAACTTTATTTTTCACAATACATTTTAAACATTTAAAAGGTACTAAACAGTAAAACTTGAACTTTTGGTAAATCAGGTATTAAAAAATTTTATTATTATTATTATTATTATTATTATTATTTTAATTGGTTTTCCTGGAAAAGCTTTTCATGAAAAGCATCCTTCAGTTAAGATAGTCAGTATCCATTTGTGGTGGATTCCTTTCCATATATATCATTCCTGATTATGTTCGTTTCTTATATTCATTTGTTTGGAGTTAAAAAAATTAATAATGTGTTTTAATGAGTCAAAATTTAAAACATTGGGTTGATAATTAAAATTCAATAAACATTTCCTAGATTTGAAGAATTATTTTATGTTGCTATGCAATTTTTAGCATGAAAACTAGTGCTTTATATTATTTTTAAATAACATATTATTGAAAAAAATTATGTTTAATTTTGGTGTCATACAAAATTCATATTATAAATTTTATGCAAAATGTTTTCTCTTATTTGAATGCTAATTTTTGATAATTTTTAATAGAAGACAATTATAATTTATGATTTTAATTGTAGGTAAAAATGCTTTTTATGATCCTGCAAAATCATCAAGTGATTTAGAAAGCAAGGTTAGTAAATATTTTTGCCTTTAAATCACTCATTTTAAAAATTTGAATTATGTAAATAAGGAAATTTATAATAGGAACAATACTATTGTTATTTAAAGGACATATAAATATTCAATATCATCTAGCAAAAAGCACTATGAGGAATTTTATTTCAGAAACTGCAGAATCATATAAAATTTACTCAGATGTTATCAGCTGTTGTGAGGTAGTGCCAATTGTTTCTTTGGCTGTTCATATAATATTATCACATCACACTTTTTAATTCATGTGAAATATCCTTTATTTTTTATGAAATATCCTTTATGTTTTGTATTTAACTTCAGATGAAGCAAAATAATGTATAAACAATGAAAAAGCTAATGTTTTTAACCTGTATTAATTTTATGGAAAAAAGATTAATAATTTAAGTCAATTAAGCCATGTGACTAGATTAATCTATGTCACAAGGCTTGCATAACGCTGATGACATAGCTAATTTGGAATCTTAACTCAAAATTTTGTGACCTGAAACCTTTCTAACCTAAACCAAAACCTTCTCTTGGTGAGTTTCCATATTGAATAATGGCGTACTTTGCTTTTAGCTCTCCTGCTGCTCAGAAACTGACATGCTGCTTTTCTTCCTATCGCAATAGTATTCAAAAATGTAATTGTCCTTTAATAGGTGCAATAGAGTGCCAAGTAAATTGTGAGCACAAATGGCAAATGAAATAAAAATTAATATTTAATCTTACTTGGCTGCCAAGTTTCCTAGTCATTATGAATTCAACATTGTAGCAATCAGAATTCTTCCTTTCAATATGCAATGTATGTTCTATATCATCAGTATTTCTGCATTTCTACATCTCAGTGTTCCTGCGTCAGTACTTCTAAATCTGTTTTCGTCATACGTACATATATATATAGAATTTAAGATCATACAACATTATATATATATATATTTGTATTGGCCAGTTTTATATATATATATATGTTTGTATGTAATGTATGAGATATATATGTAATATTTTGGCAGTCGGGCACATGAGTGAAGCTTGGCAATCCAATGACGACACACAAGGATTTAAATTTATAGCTCTATATCTTTATTCAATTCAAAAGGCATATCATCATTCTTTACTAAATAAGATTAAATTCACTGTGTCATAGTATTCCATCAAAGGGAGGCATATGAGAGCAGCAGCATAGATTCTAACAACAGTAGAGGCTCCCTCTCACGCAAAATGGCGCGAGTTCTCTATTTATAGGAGCAGTTACGTAATAGGCTCGAATGTTCTCAAAAGTTTTGGTCTAGGGAGAAGATCCTGAAATTGCAGAAAGTTAATTAGAGGTTGCTTGTTCTCATAGAGCAAAGCCACCTTGTTTTTCATATTATATATATATATATATAAACAGCTTTTATCATATTGTATTTATAATTTGTGGTTTGTATATTTTTATACATTTGATTAATTACTTTTCTAACTCGAGCATAATTTCTCAGAATACATTACTTAATTTTTCGTTAGTTTCCTCATTATGCTAAAAATATTAATACAATTTTTGGACTAAGCCATTTCTAGATTAATTTGTGCCACAAAGCTTGCATAACACTGATGAGGTAGCTAATTGGGAAATTGAACTAAAATTTTGAGAACTGAAACCTTCCTTTTGGTGAGCTTCCATTTTAATAAAAATGGAATTTAATCTGGAGTAGTGTCTAATAAGGAATAAAAGGGAGATGCATTTATCAGATTGATTAAATTTTTTTCTAAATTATGACCAACACGTTGAATGAATTCATTTTGTGTCATAGAGTTCAAATATTGCACATTTCCTACTGGCATTTCAAAAATTTGTTTCATGACATTGTCATATATATTAATAATTTAACTTAAAAAAATTACCATTATAACTAGTATTTATATCTTCAATATACCCACAAAAAGCTAGCACATTTTTTGACACAATAAGGTAATGTTAAATAACTGTTCTAATAGTACCATTTTCCAAAAATTTTCTCCTATTGAATTTGTTCTAGAAGGTCTTTATCAATAGCCAATTTCTTTCCCATGCTTCATACACAGCACTTACTTCTACATGTGATTTGGTAGAATTGTTGGTTTTAATTCTTACTATTGAATTTTCCCAATGTCTAATACCTGAATGCCAACTACTATCAGAGCTAGTAAACAACCAACAAAGTTTCCAGTATGCAGCATCCAATAATTTAGAGTAACACAACCAATGTAGTGGCATTTGTTCATACTTCGTCATGGATGTGTAATACGGTGCACTAAAATATGCACTTATTTAATATTTTTTTGGAAATTTCTCTACAGTTTTTTTCTTTATTTTCACCACAATTAAATAGAAATCTTCTCATGTCATCAGTAATATTTTTACCTACATAATTACTTGTATCTGCTGATGAGCACACATCTGTTTCTTCTGTATGTTTTTGGTCCACCTTACTAATGGAGGGGACATTAAACAGTAATGTAGTTTTTGTTCAATAAAATATATAAGTTTATTCAATATAATTCTTTACTTATAATATAGTTCAATAAAAACTATATCATAAGTTATTATAAAGAAATATTATAAATATTAAAATATTATAAATTATAATAATAATAATAATAAGTGTATCATAAGTTATTATTATTAACAACTAAAACAGCTGATAATATAGTTTTTGTTTTTGTTCAACCCTACTGGCAGAAATGACATTTACTGAAGATCTTTTTTTCTTGGTATGATGTTTTAATAACAAAGTTATCTAATTTTGAGTGCTGTTTTCTTTCTTCTGCCTGTTCTTTCTTATTTTTTCATTTCTGGGGATCTCTCTCTTTTTTTCCCCTTATCAATATTAAGTGATAATTTTTATAGTATTTTATCAATTGTTATAATTATTTTACTATTTCTTCAAATTTTATTTTCCAATGAGCAACTAATGAAGGATTTGAAGAACTATGTATAACTCTTAGACTACTATAGGATGTGGGTGATTAATTATCCTGGTTTCTCCATTCATCAAATGTGCATGTGCTATCTAGCCAAAACTAACCTATTTGGTTTGTGATAGCAATTTTTATATGCTTTAATACCTTCTTATGCTCAAATATAAAAAATACAGTAAAAACAAATATAAAATTATTGTCACTGACTAAAGTTTGGATTATAGTTTGGATTATAATTAATAACATAATTTATTCACAAAATTTTAAATTAAACCTGTACATATAAAATATCAAAGATGGATCTGGGAAAAAAATTTATTAATTTCTTGTTACTTTTCAAATATTAAAAAAACAAAAAGTAATGAGCCCTTAGGCATTGCCTGATCTTGCCTGTCTATAACTATGCAAAGTAAAAGCTATTTAACTTAGATAGTTACAAGTTTTATTCTGATGTACACATACATATATGAATAAAACAAATGAACTTTCGAACCAATTTTTTTACCTGCTTTAAAATTTATCATAAACTATTGTTTTGATTCTATTTATTAATATTAGACTGTTTAAAGAATTTTTAGTATTACTGTTTTTTATTAGGGAGAACTCGTTTTAAACCCTAGTCTCCAAGAAGAGCTCTCTAAAATGGAAATTCAACTGAAAGTTGATTCTGCTGCTGCTGAAGTAACTCATCTTTCAACTCATTCCCAGAAAGTTCAAGATTTTTTCTTACTTTTAGCAGTTTGTAATACTGTTGTTGTCGCTAAGCATCCACATAAAGATCAAGTTAGTAGTACAAAAACTGTTTTGCTTTTGTTTGTGAGTGTGTGTGTTAGTTATTCTTCAGACTTACTTACATAAAATATCAAAAAGACTAACATGTAAATATGGTATGAAATACAGTACTTTAATATCTAGTTTACATAAACTAATTTATATCATTTCCTTTTAATTGATGCTTCTGTGTAAATGAAAAGTAATCATTTTAATATGATTAGTAAAAATAAAATTTCCTCCTCTATTTTTGGGAAGGGAGGGGTCATTACTGAGCCGCCAGTTGCTGAGTGATAAAGACTGCTGAATACTGGGAGTTGAACTGGGTTTGATCCCAGGTAAATGGGCTGGCTGGGTGGTTAATTGTTCTCATGTGTAACATGAAATGACCCAGTTGTATTCTGTGCCATATTCGGATAGCCTAAAAATTTTGTCACTGTTGATTGAAAGAGTATTTAACCAAGCATTTCTTTCTGTCATTGCATATAAATTATAAAACTGATTACAAGATTAGAAAAATATTTTATCGACATTTAATATCATGAAAGTATATTTTGCTACAATGTTTTCCTTCATACTACAAAGTTATTTAACTTTCTCCTGAGAACTAGGATGTACAGGGTTGTCCCATAAGTCTGTAAATATTTTACAAATCCATAAAAATGAAAGGAATTGGCAAAATTTAACGTAGTTTGTGAAAAGTATTCTCATGAAAGTTTTTTTTTTTTTTTTTTGTGTAAGGGGGGGGGGGGAATAGTTAAAGTATTCATTGATAGAGGGTCCTTTACGAGAAGAAATTACACATTTCAAGGGAAACTATTTTTATTGGCATGCAGGCGAATGTTTACAAGCGTGTCATTTTTATTCTATGTATCCGCCATCATCATAAATTACAGTGTGCAAGCGAGTTACAACACCATTAACTTCAGCATGTCACATATCCGAATAGATGCTAGAGATTTCATAATGAATGGTGTCCTTTAACTGTACCAAAGGAGATAGCCAACTGCGGTACACTCTGGACTTGACATAACCCCAAAATGAAGTGGTATTAAGTCCATTGAGCGAGGGGGGACACTCATTTCTGCAGTGTCAGCTAATTAATCGCTCTTTGGTGAAAGTGCTTCTTAGGAACTTCTTCACTTGGGTTGTGAGGTGAAGAGGTGCCCGTTTTGCATGAACGTCATTGTGTCAAGGATATTATGTTCTAGTAAGTGCAGTATAACTTTCTCTTGCAGCAGTTGCAAGTAGCATTTTCCAGCAATTGAGCAGGTCTTTCAGCCAGGCTTTTGCACAGCACTCTTCAAATAAAAAAGGGCCCACAGTAATGGATGCAGTGAAATCACTCCAAACAATTAAGCAGGGTGAATGTAAGGACTCCTGAGTATAGACATGTGGGTTCTCCTTTGCCCAGATTCTACAGTTATGGATGTTGACTGTTCCATGCAATGAAAAATGAACTTCATCTGTAAACAAAATATTGAGAAGCTATTGTGCATCATCATCATTTTCGACAAAGCCCAATTTACGAATTTATATCGCTTAGCTTTGTTATTTGATAAGAGCTGGTAGACTGATTGCAACTTACAGGGGAACAGTTTTAATACACTGTGAAGGATATGAATGCCGATGTCTTCGGTATACAAGCATTCCATGCCACTCCACCCTTATGTGCTAGTTACTGTACTTGTTGATTGTTTCCTTAGAGTGTCAATCTTCAAAGCCACATCGAAAGTACAGACCTATGATAAACTTGATGCAGCACTATGAAAGCGATCACAAAAACTTCTCATTTCTTTGAAATGTCGTGCTAGGAAGTCAGTCTGGCAAGAGTGGTTGGACCTGAATCTTTCTTCCATTTCTTCTGTGTTCGAAACCTTCGTAAAGCTTCAGTCGGTGATTCTTGGCTGAAGTAAAACAACTTAAATAACAACGCTTTATCCACTAACGCCAGAATCACAGTTAAAACTTTATGTACGAGGAAGTAGGAGGAAAAATCAGGAATGAAGTGTTAATCATTAAACCTGCTATTTATAGGACTCTGATTTGCATATTTCTTATTACTGCATGTCTAAGACGCCTTCAATCGACGAATATTTTAACTACTTTTTTTTTCTTTACCAACAACAATCCCCCTTCATGAGAATAACTTTTTCGCAAACTTTTTTCAATTCTACCTATTTTTTCAATTTTTATAAATTTTAAAAATATTTACAGGCTTTTGGGAAACCCTGTATATATCCCATACACTAACTATTTTAAATAATACTCAAGGGCTTTTAGTCCACTTTGAAAACTTCAAATTTACTGATTAAAGTGTAATGGGATGTGGCAGAATCTATCACATTGTATTTGCCATATAAAGTCTTCTGGAAGATGAGTCTATTCCATAGTTTTTCTTCTATTTAAAAATATCTTGTGCTATCATAATGCTATTCAAGATTTCATTGCATTATTTTTATATGTAATACATCATTAATGCACACAATAATGAATAAATAAAAAGGTATTGTAAATAGATATCTAGTAACTTACTCTCCTTTTAACTGTGTATATCTCTATTAGCACCTCCGAATAGAAAAATGTAGAAAATCAAAAGTCTATAAATGCTTTCTTTAACCACAACAGTATTTTGTTTCATGTATGATCTTCCAAGTACTTCTGTGTATTTGCAGGTTTGGAAATGCTTTTTATTCATAAGCAAGATTTTATCAAGGTTGTTGACTTTTTTTTCTGTTTAGGAGTGTTTTAAATATTGTATACACATTATTCTAAAATATATTAGTTAAAATAAAAGATTTGAAAACTTAGCCTCTTTTTTTAGTTTAATTAGCCATGTTCAGAAATGTTTAATGTGAATTTAGCAACTTTTAATGATTTAAATTTAAAATTTTTCCCTTACAAGCTTTCACATCTCTTTGTAGATGAACTCAAGTGGATTATTTTTAAATTCATTGACATCAACTCCACTGAGAACTCCAAGAGCATCTGGTGAAGGATGGGAAAGTCCACATGAGAAATATTCTCATCTTCTTAGTGAAGTTAGTACACCAGCAAGTTCTGCTGCATCAACTCCTATCAGAAGGCCTCGTAATTTAACCCTTCCTGCATATTTAAAGTCTTTTTGCTCACCTACACCATCTCCTCTTGAATTTCGACCCATATATGAAGCAGAAAGTCCTGATGAAATTGCATTAGTTGAAACAGCATATCATTATAATTGTAAACTATTACGCCGCACTCCTGATTCACTAACACTTTCACTACCAGGTATAATTCTTTGTGTTTTTATGTGGTAAAAATGTGGGACATTATTATAAATATGCTTTTATTTTTTTTAAAGGAAAACATTTTTACTTTTTGTTGTGCAAATAAAAAATTCTTTATTTGCGTATCAATTTGTGTGAAATGTTAAAGCATTTTTCATGTGCTTAAGAAATTTACCTTTTCATTGAACACTTATTATAAAAAATTTCATTTAAGAATTAATTGATTTAATAATTAATTAATTAATTGAACATTTAAGTAGGAAAATTTTAATTTTTGGTCAGTGAATGGCTTATTAACAAAATTTGACTTGAGTTTTGATTTCAAGTCATTGGGTATTTTTTTAATAGTCAGTACCTATAAATTATTTTCATTTTATACATTTTATATCATTTCTGTAAAATTTTATGCATTTATTTAATATACTGTTAAAGCTGACAATAATCTGAAATGCATACATCTTTGTTATGTTTAGTAAGAAATGTAATTTGTTTTAAGACTTTTATGAATATTAAATCTTTCTATGCAGTGCAAACATTTTGTCTATGTTACAAAAAAAGTATTTTAATAACAAACAATTACAACCCTTTGTAATCACAAATACATACACATTTTGAAAAAATCTTGCCTTTTGAAACATGCTGACTGAAACTAGTTACCATTAAAAAAATGAGTATAAGCATACCATACTTTTTTTGCATGACCAGTGCAGTTTTGAAGAGCAGAATATATATATATCATAATTTTTACTGAAATTTAAACTGTATGTTAGAAAAATGTCCATTGTAAAATTTCTTGCAAAACTTTGTGTTATTTTAATTTAATTTTTAATTTAAACAGTTTTTAATTAAAAATTCCCTGCAAAACATTGTATGTGGCCAAAAACTAGAGAACAAGAATAGGCATGCTGAGGCATCTTTCTTTATACATATAAAGATTATATATAAAGATATACATGCACACACTGTAGTACCTCCAATAAGGGACACACACTGGATCATACATTTTGTTTCTTAAATATTGGTGCTCCTACTTCAGAGAGTACCTACTAAAAAGGTGTAATTTAATTAAAATTTAGGTTGTATCAAGCTTGATATATAAATAGGTAACATAGTCACTGGTATTTATTTGAATTTGAAGTTAATGAAAAATGAAAATTCTTAATTAAAAAAGTTTAATTCTTGCAAAAATGTACAAAATGAAAAATAGAGTTTTCTACTAAAAGAAATTTATCACTCAGATTTTTAATCCGTTTAATTTCTTATGCCTTAATAAACAAGTAAAATATTGATAAATATTTTTGTAGAATGTAAGAAATTGATAAATTTCAAATTAAGGTGATATGTATTATTAAAGCTGATGATATATATCATTAATATATTTTTAATTGTTTTTGTATTTCGAAATTTCTTTCGAGAAACAGCACACCTTCAATTAATTTAATTTTTATGTCTTGATTATTTTTCATGTATAGATAGATAGAGAGATAGGTGCATGACTTATTGTAGTTACAGTCTCTGTACATACCAACTACAAGCTTAGTTTTAAGTGCACAAAGCATGACCAAAAGAGAAAACTATGAATTGGATTATATTCTGGTTATAAGTGAAAAAGGTTAAAAGAATATATTATTAAAAAGCAAAGAGAAATCTGAGCTGAAATCAGCTATAATAATTTCATTACACAGGAATGCCCTGTTAAGAAGTCTTTCAAGCATATAAAGACAGGAAAGTATTAAACAGAAATATTTGTTAAGAAAACGTAACAAGTATCATAGGATGATTAGTGAGCAACTTAAAAAGCACAAAGTGCATCACCAGAGGTAATTCAGTGGTCAGCAAATTTATGTGTATTTAGAACATATTAGCATATACATGTTAATTAAATATGTCAACTGTTTAACTGACATAACAGTCAAACTACTACCCAGACTGTGTCTGCTATATTAACTGAATACCACATGAAATGTTTGTCTTCCAGACATAGGAAATGTAGATTGTATTTCTCACTGTTTGCTAATAGCTGGATAGTCGAGTGGCAAAAAGTTAGTTGTTGTTGCTAATGCTCACTTATCTGACTTATAGTTAGCCCAAGCCAACAAAATTCCTCGTGGCAAGGAGTGCAAGTTTACGCCTGTCGTTGGCAACAGCCTTTAGTGTCTTACACGTGGCAGTGTGATTTAGCTAATTTCTGCCTCCAGTTTGGATGAAGAGCACCCTAGGGGGGGAAGTCAGAGTGTCTCCTACCCCTCTTCCCCTACCACAAACTTCTTGAGGACTTTTGGCTCACCACGTATTTAGAGTGCCCCCATGCCACATGGACACTATACATTTACAAACATGCATGCCTTTTCTGGGATTCGAACCCAGGCCCTTCATGGCACTCGGCGAAGCTAACCACTATACCATCTGGAAGGCAAGAAGTTAGATAATCAGTTATAAATTTAAGAGATTTTTTTTCGTCTGTAAAGGGAATTAATTCTTAAAATGAATTTTTATTCATATCTTTAAAAATTATTAAACAAGTAAAATTTCATAAAGACCTCTTGGCATCTTAAAATTACACTTCTTAGACAAGAAAACTTAATAAAAGGAAATTCCATATGTGGGGAAAATTTGTGCAGTAGTTTTGAGGGTTTTTTTTTTTTTTTTTTTTTTTTTTTTTTGAACTTTAAAAATTATATTTCTTAAAGGGGAAATCTTATGTAAGAATTCATTTGAACATTGTTTGAAATGGTTTATTATATGTATCATGCATAATATCTTTTTTTAATTTTAAAGGATCTATAAGTTATCAAAAAGGATCTATAAGTTATCATTAAATCACTACTTTTTTAATAAAGTAGTGATTTAATGACCTCTTTCTACCTTCTGAATGTATTCATTTAATCAATTCTAGTATTTCTTATGTATAAAAATTAGTAAATTAGTAATAATTGTAATTTTAATAGAGTTTTTGGAAATAGCATTATTCATATATTCTTCATATATTTTGTAATCTCATTAGGTGAAGGGATGATTGAATTCCGAATATTGCATGTGCTTCCATTTGATGCTACGCGTAAGAGAATGTCTATTATTTTACAACATCCTCTTACTGGAGACAAAATTCTATTTTGTAAAGGAGCTGACTCAACTATATTTTCTCAGTTATCTCCTAACTGGAGTAGAGGTATTCTTACAAATTTTATATAATTACATATAATTTTTATATAATTACGTTTTGTATGATTTCAGATGTCTTAAAGCTATGAGCTAAGAAGAATTTATTCCCATTAAATATTACACCATTACCTTGTTCTGCTGCACTGTCTACTTCAATTGCCATTGTTTCAAAATATTATATAAAAGTTTATAAAAGGATTTACTGTTGATGCCTTGTATAAAATAAGAATTATACTGATTTTTTAATGTTTTTAGCCAATAGAGATATGATATTAAAGACTCAGCAGCATTTAAACAGCTATTCACGGAAAGGGCTCCGTATATTATGTATGGCTACCAAGGTAAGAAAAAGTTTTTAGTCATTGTTTCGTTGAATGCTCTTTGACTGCATTTTTAAATAATTCTAGCAAAATGAATATCAAATCTGTTTAATGATATTCTTGAGATTTATGGTATTTAATTATTTAATTTAGTTGATGTTACATTTTTATTAAACATAATAGAAATAGATATTTTGTCATTAAATATGTTTTAATTATAACATGTTACATTATACTATGATTATGTATATTAGTACATGTTAGCTTATACTATTATTTCATATAATTTTTGCTCTGCTATAATATGTGAATGATTTTAAGTTAATGTAAATGTGCAAAATATTATACAGAGCAGCATAATAAATATAGTAACCTCATAATTTTGTGTAAGTATGCCATTTTGACCATAACAAGTATTAAAGAATTATTTTCCTTTTTTTATTTAATTTCATACATAACTATAAGATAACTATAAGGTGTAAGCTATAAAAATATGACAGAAATTTGTTGACAAACTAAATTGCGACAAACTGGCAATAGACCTTTAAATTTCTAATTTTTAATTAAACCACAAGCCCCTTCAAAGCAGCTGCATTTTTCCTGCTGTAACTGCATTGTAAAAATTCTTATTTTAGTCACTGTGCATGATTAAAACTAAACATTCCAAGCTAATAAATAGTATTGCAAACTAATTGTGCACTCTCTTTGGCTACTTTGCCTTCCAGGTAGCAACATGTTGCATAGCCTCTTCTAGCTATTCTCTGTTAGTTAAGATGTAGTTGCACATTTAAAACTGTGAGGCATGTTTAGCACTGCTAGTTTTCTACTAGTTAAAAAAATGTGTGTTAAAAAAAATCATCATCCAGAAATAAATTACATTTAATGACCAAACTGGTCATACTTCTTTCAAAACTCCAGTCACCATTACACTGCAATTTCCAGTGATCTATGCAGCAGTTTTTCTCACTCATAACTAAAAAATGATTGGTTTAAAAGTTATATTGATGTACCAGCAAAAACTATTACATCTCTTAATATGTTAGAGAATTAAAACTTAATTGGAACAAACTGGCAATAGATCTGTAAATTTCTAATTTTTAAGTAAATCACAACCCCCTTTTACATTTTCCCTACAATAATGGCATTGTGAAAATTCTTGTCCATAATAATCACTGTGCACATAATTTTTACATATATATAATATAATATAATAATCACTGTGCACAACGCACTTTGAAATACTACTGCACCTATTATGCATTCTCTTTTGCTGCCTATGCTTGCTAGCTGAAGGGCGTTTCTGGTTTGGCTGCTTCTATTCATTATTAAAATATAGTGCATCATAATTAAAATTGTGGGTGGGGTGCATATTGTTGCCGTCGAGCTGTACCATGCCATGTGTCTGAATAGAATAATCAATAAGAAAAACAGATACGTTCAGATCATGAAGATTCTGTGATATTTCAAAAGTGATATCAAGTAAAATGTATGTCTACAATTTCTAGTATCTACATGCAGCTATGATTATTAGTGAATGGTTCTACTCTCTCCTTTGGCCAATTTATTTTTACATATATATGTGTATGTGCATGCATAAGGTAAAGAAAAATATGAATCAAAATTATAACTTGAATTAGCATTCATTTTAATTTGGGTACTTCCCGTCTTATTCTGAAAATAGTAATAGCTTTTTCTGGACTGCTTCATTTCTAGATCAATCCATCACATGATTTTTACATAGTGATGGTGAGGTAGCTAAGTCGAACCCAAACCTTTCTGTTAATAAGCTTCCATAATCAAATAACTGCACTCCTCAGCCAAAGCAGACTGTTGCTTGCTGCTTTCTACCTATCACAACAATATCAAGAATGTAAATATTCTGGAAATAGGCATGATTAGAGTGCCAAGTGAATTGTGGCCACAACTGCCAGTTTGAAATGAAAATGAGTATTTAATTTGTCTCGGCTGCCAAATTACTCTTCATTATGGATCTCAACAATCCAATCAATATTTCTGCATCATTATATCTACGTCTACAGCAACATTACATATATGTATATATATTTAATTTTCCATGAAGCATTTGTAATACTGTATTTAAAAATATGTTCTTTTTAATGTTTCATTTATGTTAAGAAATATTTAAATTGTTCTCTAATTTTTTTTAGGTTTAATTTAACTTTTGTTTTGAAAATTCATACATGCAGTAATTCTACAGATTTTTTTTATGTGGAGTATTCAATTCATAGAATTAGTTTCAAGTTTTAGAAATTAACATCTGTGGAATGATCATCAAATATATGCTGAAAATTTTGATTTTTCTTGACTTCAAGAAACTGAAATTTAGATGCAAAATACACAATCTGCCTCTTATAAAGCATCCCTAATTCCTGTTTCCTGCAAGTCTATTCCATAGTCAGCTGATATTTGACTATTAGGCTAGCTTCTCTAAAGTTTGCTCTGGTACTACTGGTAGATGTACTAGATCACATCACATCAGTGTGTATTCCCACATATATATATTTTCAAATAGATTGTATATAGAGGTATATTTATGGAGTCATACAAGTTGCAATCATGAGCAATCCCTAGGAATTTTCTTAAAAATTGTAAATGTACTTTCTTAAACTTACTTAAGATGAGAGCCCCTTCAGAGTGTGGTGGGACTGTCACTTCATAAATCTACCTCTGATTTTTTTAAATAATTTTAAATATAGCTAGAAACAGTTATGTATTCACATTATTACATGGATATGGAAGTGTTAAATGTTGGTGAAAGTTCTTTTGTACAGTACACTATGAGTCTATACAAAAGTATATTATCACTAAAATATAGTTAACTGACTTATATTGAAGGATTTTCAAATAGATTGTATATAGAGGTGTATTTATGGAGTCATACAGGTTGCAGTCATGAGGGATCCCTAGGAATTTTCTTAAAAATTGTAAATGTACTTTCTTAAACGTACTTAAGATGAGGGCCCCTTCAGAGTGTGGTGGGACTCTCACTTCATAAATCTACCTCTGACCTTCTTTTTTTAAATAATTTTAGCTAGAAACAGTTATGCATTCACATCATTACATAGATATGAATGCATAACTGTTTCTATCAGACATAGATATGTTATGTTATCATTACAATATAGTAACTGACTTATATTGAAGGAATATCTTAAACAGAGAGAATGTTACAGAATTCAAAACGTTCATCTCAGACTCAGCAGCTTTTGAATGACCTAAAGTACCTCCTTTTTTATTTATTTGTTTTCCTGCTTTATGCAATAAGACAGCCTTTAACACATTTTTCTTTCTTTCTTTTTTTTCCCCCAATTTTGTTGTACAAAACCTTTAAAGGCTAGTTTTGATTTCTTGTCTTGCACAAAACATTTAAATTTTCCAAAGAACAACTAATGTGTCAAAAGTCCATAAGGTTAAACAACTGTTTAAGAAAACTAATTTTTGTTAAGTAAATATCCCCTATTACTATTATTGAAATGATCTGTTATACATTATTATTAAAAATGTAAAAGCAAAATGATAATAATTTTGCATAAAAAGTTAATTGCAGCAATGTGATTGCTATGTTATTAGACAATAATTTTGCATAAAAAGTTAATTACAGCAATTGATTATGATTATGATTGTTATGTTATTAGACATAAGCAACTATATTAACTTCATTCGTTGCTTAATTAATGTATAAATTATTTAAGAGATAAAGATAATTATATGGCTGCACAAACAAACTGAATGTTGCATATAAACTAAATTTTAGTTTATAATGAAACTATAAGAGGTGTTCAAATGGAAAGGTATGAAAAGTCATAACAACAAAACCGGTTGAAATTCTAATTTGCTGCTTTGTCATAACATAGTGAGACATCAAAATACGTGAATGTAGTGTCCAGCATGGTTGCACATATGCATGGGCACCCGCATATGATGTAGGAGAAAAGTAGGCAGTTGTGTGTTCCATCCAATTGATGCAGCAGTGAGTGTTATGACATCGTGTTCACATTGCAAAATTCGATGACTGAGGAGCAACAAGGTGTTATCAAGCTTCTGACTGTGGAAGGGTTAAACCGGCCGATGTTTATCGCCGGGTGGTGGCCATATGTGGGGAAGACTGTGTGTCTGATAAATCAGTGAGAAAGCAGAGCTCCAGCTTTCATACGGCGTTGGAGTGTTTGAGTGATGACCCAAGACCAGGCCAGGCAAACACGGTAATCAGGGCTGAACTCATCAACAAGGTGAATGACCTGATAAGAAATGGCACCTCAAAGAGAAGCACTTCAACTTAAACAACGAACTGAAGGACACAGTGGAGGACTGGCTCCAGTCACAGGTACAGGAATTCTAGGAAGAAGAAATCCTTCATCTTGTGAAACAGTGGGATGGTTTTGCTCAGACCTCTGGTGATTACTTATGAATAAAAACTTCAATATATCCATAGTGTCATTTTGTTTCATTTGAACACCCCTAATCGTATAATGAGGGAAACAAATACAGTACAAAGTCCATAATCCGGACTTGGCTAGACTTTGGCGATTCCGGATTAGGGGTTTTTCCGGATCATAAATCATCAATTTAAATCTGGTAAGATGGCATGCAGAAATTATACAGTTAAAAATATGAAATCGTAATTTATGAAATAAAGAACAATTATGATCTAAAGGGTATCAACATTTACAAAAAAAAAAGAGCTTAATATTTATTTGTTTACTTTATTAAACATTTCTTTCAATGTAAGTTGTTTAAGATGCTTCCACAAAAAATTCCTTTTTCTTTTGTCATATATAGTGGACTTTCCAATGCCATACTTCTCGCATAATTTTGAGACAGATAGGCCTTTATCCATTTTTTGCAGCAATTCCACTTTTTGTTTAATGGACATCGAAACATGCTTTCGCTTTGTAGATCCTTTGGCAGCTCCAGAATTGGAAACTCTTTTTGACATAATCGAAAGTTCAAGCTTAATTTTTATAAAATTGTTCTAACAGTCTGCAAAAAATAATAAGCCAGATCCAATTAGAAGATTAAGGAACAGCGCAATCTGCAACATTAACTGAAATGCCTTAGATAATTTTAGCCTAGCTTATACCGTCCGTTATACATTAAACGTGCATGCACATAAAGTTTGTAGCTTTGAGGTCCGGATTATAGATCATTCCGGATTACAGACTTTGTACTGTAGTATAATGTGGGAAAAAAGAAAAAAGTAGTATGAACACTTTTGTTCTTTTAATTCTCTGTACTTTTTATTTTTCTTACTTAGTTATTTATTTTTAAGTCTGTGAGTGTAGTTATGCTATACTGTTTTGTAATAAGTGTCATGGACTTAATGATATCATGCTGACAGATTATTCCCGAGGAAGAATATGATGAATGGTTGGCCTTTCATAATGAGGCTGAGCTTTGTTTTGAAGAAAAAGATAAGAAACTTTACCAGTCTGCCTGTCTGATTGAGAGAAATTTGGAATTACTTGGAGCCACTGGCATTGAGGATAGGTTACAAGAAGGAGTGCCAGAAACCATTAGTGCTTTAAGAGCTGCTGGTATAGTTGTTTGGGTTTTAACAGGAGATAAACAGGTATTTTGAATTTTTAAATGTGCATTTCATTCGATTGTAAACTCCTAATATATACTTACTTGTTCAAGTATGCCATCAATAAACTCAAATCGTTACTCTTTTTATTAAATTGTTGAATGAAATTATATATTATGTATTTTTTAAAATGAAGCAACCAGAATGAATTTTAATTCCATCTTTCTTTTCTATCTTTGCTATATCATTTACTTAAAATTTTTAAACTGCATTTTCCACAACGTTCTTTACTTTTTTTTTAATCATAACTGTTCAGTTTGTCTTTGAGACAATGCATGTTCTAAAGTTAACATATAATCAAATGTTAAACATTTTGTTCGACATTACATATTTATATGTTCATGATTTTAAATTATTTCTTTACTACTAATCTTTTAAATAATTTTTTTTTAAATTTTTGCATAACCTTCCCTTCCTTTTTTTTAAAATCTTTTTTTACAAATTCTGCATTTTTTTCTGCTTATGTTCCTCTGAGCATTTCTACAATAACTGCATTGAGCTACTATCAAAATATTGCAAGTTATTTATGTTTTAAATGTGTGCAACATTTTTGGATCACTTGATAATGTTTAAATATTTTTGTAAGCTTGCATTTTTGTTAATTCTGCTTCTTATGACCCATTTAATATTCTGTAATTTTACATTTATATTCCAATAATTGCATTTTTGTTAATTCTGCTTCTTATGACCCATTTAATATTCTGTAATTTTACATTTATATTCCAATAATTGTAGTACTCTTTAATATGTATTGATCAAGCAAATGCTATAAAAACAATCTTTTCTAGTGTAATAAAATCATTTAGTTTAATTACAGTTGTTGTAATTTTTAAATTCATAGGAAACTGCTGTGAATATTGCCTACTCTTGTAAGCTTTTCTCAACTGACATGGAAATAATTACTTTAAATGCACGATCTAAAGTAAGCTAATGTTTTTTTACTTTCCAATTTTTCTTTATTGATTTATAAATTAAATTTATGAATAAGTAATAAAATAAAACTAAAAAAAAAAAGGGGGGGAAAGAAAGAAAGAAAAAGAAAAAAAAAAAAAAGTTTGAGGTTCTTTAAAAGAAAGTTGTAACTTTTTTTTCTTTGCATAACCTTTATTTCAATTTCAAAATTTCTTTCACTATATTCATATTTTTACTGGTTAAGAAAATATTCATGTTCCTGGCTCTGTGTTAAAAAATTTAAATAAGAAATAATTATAGTTTTGAAAGTATTTTGAGCAATACAAAAATGTTTAACTATGCTTAAATAAATTATAGAAGCTAATTACCATTTGAAGGAAAGTGTTGTGAAATTAAACAGTTCCTAAAAATTTTACTTTTACAGAATTATGTGATTAATTCAAAAAGAATTTAAAAAAGACATATCAAGAATAACTGAATTATGCTCAATACTGTATGATATGAGAGATGTTGAGCTTCTGGACACATTAAGGCTATCCTTTATTTAAAAAATAGAAGTAAAAATGTGAGTGCAAGTACTTTTATCAAAGGAGAAAGAAACTTCCAAACATTTCTCTGTAGGGTACTATGAGAGTACAAAGGCCAGTAAATGCAGAAAAACTTGTTGGAGAGGTAAATTTTAAAGAAAATAAATTGATGCAAACAGGAAAAAACACCACATACACTTGTATATGCGAGCAATAGATTAATCTTATTTAAAATACATGCTATTATGTGATTAAAAAAATCTTTTGTTAATTACACCAAACCCTCGGTCTTTGAGGACAGGGGAAGATTTCATGCCCCTCTTGTTTGCCAAGAATGAAAAAATTTTCATTGTAAACTTTTATAAGATCAATTTGGTACCTCCGAATGCTATGTCTAGGGACAAATGTCCCCCCTTGCTCCCCCTTAGCTATGCCACTGAATTACTCTAATAGTTGAAATGTTTTTAAAGATTTTTAATTAGATATACAATATTGCAATATGTATAAATACTTTATTTGTTTATGTTTATTTAAATAATTGAAAAGTATACTGTTTCTAAATAGTTCACCGTTTTTATACACTGAGCAGAATACTATTATAATTTAAATGGTAAAAAGTACTTGGCAATATTAGCATGATAAGAGAAATTGAGAAGCACAATCGGTGTGCTTTCTGTCTCCAATAAGAGTTTTCTTTGTAAGATATGTGTGATTCAAATGAAGGGTGTTTTTAGTTGTTGTTTTGTTTTGTTTTACATGGTTGAACTGGAGAATGATGTGTCAATGAAATAGCAAGTTACCATAAAATTTCGTATCAAACTTTGAAAGAATGGAACCCAAACTTATAAATTGTTTAAACAGGTGTAGAGAGAGTCTACAATTGCAATCAACATCATTCAAGTTAAATGATTTTGTTGTAGTTACTAATCCTTGAGTCCAGCTTTTGCTAGATGAGGTCTGCGAGATCTTAAATGATTTTGAAAGAAGAAAGCATATGTGACAGAATAATGAGAGCAGGATGCATTCAGTTTTATTTGTCAGTAAAAACATTTTTCTTGTCTTGTTCAAAGCTCTTTTGTTATAATGATTGCCAAATAGTTACTTCAGAAAGACCACTATTCACTGATTTTAGTAAAGAAATTAAGATTGAAAGAGCTAAATGAGCAGATCATCTTAAAATGTTTGACTGTATAAGTGTAAACTGAAACTGTAGAAGGGCTGTGTTGACTAATCAAATCAGGATTTTCTCAGTAAAGTAATTATGGCTGAGGAGTCTGGGGTTTGCAAACATAATTTGACACTGAAGTCACTGAGCAATGAATGGAAAATGAGCAAAGAACTGAGGCAAAAGAATCAGAAATTAAAACAGTAGTCTCTTTTTAGTCCAAAGGGATTTGAATCCCGAAGGACTATTAGTTTCGTTTTGGCATTTTGCGTCGGACGGATAAATGTCGGTTCACTTTTCAAACTGTTGCCATAAAATGTTAGAGTCCTGCATTATATTTGAAGAAATTAAATAATGAAAATCTGCGTAAATGTATGTATATTTCTCACATTGTCATAAAATAACGGTACATAGAGTCATCGAATTTTGAACAACGTAATCCTCCAACGTATATGAGCATGTGGAAGACCAAATTTGAAATTTGAAATTTGTTTTATGATCGATTTCCTATTTTTTAAATCTTTGACGAATTTTTGATTAACAAACTCAAGGATTTCAAAGCAAGCAATGGCAACGTTGTGCAGAAAAAAAAAAAACATTTTTATCTCCAGCGCGTGAGTCTCTGTATCGGAAATTCTAAAGATATGCTCGTTTTAAAACTATTTTGCGATATTGCTGTTGCACTGGATCTTATGGTTTAAGTGCGAGGAACATGATATTTAATAAAGAAAGGTAACACACAAAATGTTAAAAGACGCCCCTTTGGACGTAATTTAAAATCTGAAACATTTCAGATTTTTTTTTTTTTTTTTTTTTTCCAAGTTTATCTGACATTTTTGAAATTGTACATTATAAATTCATCCCAGGAAAAGAACTTAGAAATACAGCTTACTACATAAGTACCTTAAGATACCTATAAGATCATATATGATGTATGTAACTACAGTTCTTTGAAAGACGCAGATAACTTTTTCATTATAACAATGTGCTGTCACATATTGTATTAGTTATTCAGGAAATCCTAACCTGTAATTCAGTCACTTTCAAAAAGTTTGAAAAGCATTCTCATTTTCTAATTTAGCCACCTGTGATTTTTTTTCCTATTCAGCACACAAAACGAAGCTGCTAGAGAAGTGTTTTGGAAACTTGAAAAATATTAAGATTGAAATAAAGAATTAGTTTAAAAGTTAGTACAAGCAGATGTGCAGCACTGCTTCTGAAAAATTTAAACTGAGTTGAAAAAGTAAATTAATAGTGGAAGGGACTATTTCGAAGGTGATTATGTTGATATACATGAATGAAGCCTAAATGTTTTATGCATGAATTTCATGGGCAGATAATATAAGTCACTTTTAATTTCATTGGTAATTATTATGTTAATATAAATAATAATTTTAATTCAAAATTCCACAGCCAACTGATTTGCCAAATTTTTAAGCTACATGTATAATTATAAGAAATTTTTGCTGCTCAGAATAGCAATTATTTTTAGAGCTATCAATATGTCACAGTGCATAGCTGTTTAATGCAATTATAGCATAACATATCATGCAATATGATACACACAAAAAAAATTTCTAGAATAAAATGTGCCAGAATCCTAATAAAAGTCAGTCTGTAGTGTTAGTTAAAAGAATACTAATTAAATGAAAATATAAAATATTGAGGATAAGCTGAAGTGGGATATAAAAATGAAAAAGATAAATATAAAGAAATATAAAAAGTTAATAATAAAATATCATTCAAAGAATAGAGAAACTGGAAATGTTTGTGTATATCACTGCATTTTGTTAAAAAAAATATTATGCATCAAAGTAAAAATTTTATTTTAGCATTAATTGGGAGATGATATATAATTATCAGCAATACATGGTGATTATCCTACATATCGAGCAAACAACTGCACAGCATTTGGAAAGGCATGAAAAATAGTACCTTTATTCATGTTCTGCCTCCACTTTTTAATAATTAATTATTGTCATCCTCTTTAATAAACAATTGTATAGCATTTTATAAAGGTAGCTATATTTTTTATTATTTATATTCTATCTCTGCTTTTTTTATGTCTGAAATGAAAAAGATTTAAGATTAAATTTAGCAATGAATTAAGATGTTGTTTCTTTACATTCTAATTCTCTGCTTTTTTTGTAATTGTTTTAAAGTTATATTATATTTCCATTAATTATTGTTTAGGAAGCAGCTGAAGATACTATGAGATTCTATTTGGATCAAATTGAAAAAGATATTGTGACTACTGAAACATGCTCTTGTGCACAATCTACAAATTCATTCTCATCTACTAACCCTCTCAAAAGCTTTTTCCATGGCTTGAATCAAAGAATAACAGGATGCATTGATCAAAGGAAACAAAGAGCTTTGGTTATTGATGGAAGAACTCTAGCATATGTTTTAGATAAACCATATGATGAACTCTTTTTAAATTTAGCTCAACATTGCACATCAGTATTGTGTTGCCGAGCTACACCTCTCCAGAAGGTATTAACTGGCATCATCTTTTTTTGCCTGCGTTTATACTTAATTTAAAAACTACAGAAATTTGGATTCAGTGTTCCTTTGCTTAAAGTTGTGATTGACAGAAATTAGCTTCTTTATATTTTGATTTCCTTCTTATAAAATGGTGCTCTGCATTTCAATTTCTGTAAATCTGTTGAATCATAAAATTTTAAAATGTTTATAGTAAAAAAGATTATTATATATATTTAATAAAAATCTGCATTAACTTTGAAAATGTTAAGGGCATTGTTGAAGTTAATCATGCAGTAGATTAAATATGTTTGTTAATATGCGAGGCTTATCTGTGTATAGTAGGCTTGGTACTAAGTGTCTTAAAGAAATGAACTTACATAAACAGAAGTCAAAGTCTCTAGGACAGTCATAATTTGGAGCATTGTCTCGAAGCATATTTTTAAAAAATTTCTTTGTTTATTATTTTGTTCAGTAATATTCCAGTGAGACTCTATGAATAGTCAATTTGAAAGAGGTTATAATTATGTGGTCTCATTAGGAAATTCCCTGTGACTCTCTATGATTAGATAATTTGAAAGAGATGAGTTATAACCTCCTTTTTAGCTTCTTACTTAATTTAATGCAAGAAATAGATATTCATTACTAAATTAGAGTATTACTGAATTAATACTACAATACTCACTGACATGCATGCAGTTAAAATTATTATACTTATTCATTTATTCTTACTTTTACATGTTATAAGTACTTGTTATTTTTCTGTAGCTGCACGTAAATGCAAATAAAGAAAGATGCTGAAAAATGCTTGCAAGCATGTCGCTATATATGTATCAGCTTGCATCCTTGCATTTTCACGATTTGTGAAATACAGGTTTCGGTCATTGGCCTTAACATTTTCATCGCTTAACTCGTTCTCTATGCAAGTTTTTTTTCCATACTATTGCAGCATGTCTAGTGACTTATTCATTAATTTTTCAGTACATTTCAGTCTATAGTATTGTGTTTTCACAAAATTTACAATGAGAAAGACAAAAGGATGCCATTGCCATGAGGAATGTGTTGAACTATATTTTACAAACTATATTCAGCAATAATGCAGATTGATACAATCAGATCCCAGTTTGAGTGACATGACACAAGTTTTAGTTTTCTTGATTTAAGAAATCTAGAAAATTTAATATTCATCTTTAAACTAAATATGAGGCTTATTCATTTGAAATAGGAATTATTTCAAACACTGAAGTAGGAGAGCCAGTTTTTCCCTCTGCCAAATTGTGCAAGTGAATTGCTGTCTCTGGATATGGGAAAAATTCAATTATATAAAATTGACAGTTTATATTTATATATAAAATTATATATAAAATTCAATTATATAAATTTATTTATATATAAAATTCAATTATATAAATTGACAGTTTATATAATTGAATTTTTCCCATATTCAGAGACAGTATAAAAGGAAGTGGAGAGCTGTTAGTCTGCACTTCATTTAATATTATAATTAAATGACTTCATAAATTTATCACCAGTCTCTATTTTTATATAGTTAGAATTCATTTATATATAAAATGGAGAACTGTTCGTCAGATAACTACTGAATAATTTGAAATCCTTATCTCAAGGTGTCACATTCGAACACCATGTGATAAGTTTTGACATAATCCATAAACGGAATTACATCAAATACTAATAGTAATGGTTTAAAAAAATGGATATTTTTTCTACTAGGTGTAATCAAATGCAATTTACCACATGATAGAGAGCTATGAAGAAGGTATAGTTGAAATATGAAATGAAATTTCCCAGCCTTTTTTATAGATCTTAAGACATGTTGCAAACTTGAATTCATCTGTATTTCAAACTACTAGTATTAAAAAATAAGAGTAGATGGTTTGCAAACGCATAAATCAGTGACAGCGAATTTTTAAATATTCTATGGCCTGTTTAAAATATATTCTGGTACTGCAGGCCATACAATACATTTTTAACAATGTTTTGAAATGCTTCCTTCTGTAATAATAGCCATTATTTCAAAGTATTCAAATTATCTTTGTAAATATTTTGTTGATAGAACAATATTAAAAATTAAAACTTCAAAATTAATGAGAATACCGAGGAGGCTCGTAATAAATTCATCAGTTAACTATATGCCATCAGAAATTTGCACACGCACTGTACATTATCTTAAAAATGTGTAAAAATGCACGCATACAATATTTTCTTGTGTATTCCCTCCTTTTTAACTAGTTTTTATCATCCAAAAATTGAGGGGGTAATTATGCAAGTCATTTAATATCTGAAGAATGTGGTTACAGTAAGAATATTACAAATGAAAAGTAATTATAGATAAACTACTGGTAACTACCATAATATTATTTTTTAAAGGAAGCCTACATTCCATACATAACAATATTAACATTACAGTATCTAGATATTTACGATATCTGACATTAATTGAGGTGGACATGCCATGCTCCAACTCATTTACCTTGTAAAGCCGTAGGGGCACATCACATGAATGAATCTTGACCGCAGTTTCTGAGAAAGGAACAAATGGAAGACCCACATTTCATAAGATCAAGCACATCGGCAGTAGTTAAGGCTAAAATGAGCTGGAACAGAAGTAAGATGAAATCATATGTTTAGAAAGTTTCTAAAGTGTCAGAACACCTGCCATGTCGGGGTAGCTTAATGGAGAATTTGCTCAAAATGTATTTCACTTTATAAGTGCAAGGGAAAAATAAAATGTATGAAATGATAATACGAAAAGGCAAATACAAATTGAATACGTTGAATAAAAGTAATCAAGTAAATACAATTTAACAATAAAATACTCTTCAGAAGGAAAACTATGTATAGTAGGAATATTTTTAAAATTTTTGAACTTGGTGCTAAAAAGCTAGGGGGAGAATGCAGAGAAATAAGATATTAGAAAATCTGTGGTCAGCAATAGTAATGAATTTTGTTATCTTTGCTGTGAACTGCAGTATATAGAAGATTAAAGGTTAGCAGTTAGCCTCCAGTGACATAAATATTTAAAAATACTGAAAATAATAATAGAAAAGAAGAAAACAGTTGGTGAAGCGAATGAAGAAGCATTAATCTCAAGGATGGATGCAAAACCACTTAAAACCTAATTTATTTTATTACAAAGAATACATTATTGACAAAAGGATATCAAAAACATGTGAATACAATTAATGTGTCAACTTCTTCCATCGTAAATTTTGAGAGACACAAAATGTTAATTGAGGTGAACCTACATTTACACTGTGCAACTTTATATTTAGGTTAGTCACATTTATAATACAAAATTATTTTACATTCTTCTGAAAGAAGTCAGGACAATGTGAAAAATTGTATGCTATTTTGAATATTTACAAGTCTTTTTTCCTTTAAATTTTATGAAAATTGTTTCAGTTTTAGGATCTAATACACGCAATTATTTTTCTTAAATTTATGCAGTTTTTTGTTAAGATGCCAAAATTTATCACCACTCTCTATTTTAAATGTATATTCTTTACAGTGGCGAGTATTAATTGCTGTTTGAAATACATCATCTTTATTATATCTAAATCAAATTTTTCCTTTTGGGAGAAGTATGGATTTTGTTGTATATTGCTAGGCTTGACAACTTTCCACCATTCTGGCAATTTTAAGACCAGCTTACCTGAAAACATTTTATTTTGTTGATATGTGAATTTCATAGTGATTTTTTAAAAAATATAGGAACTTTATTATGATATTAAAATAACAGTATTATTATTATATTTAATATTTCATTATACATTAATATTACATTATTTTTTTAAAAAATAGCATTGAAAGCGAAACATTTTTATTTCCATCTTTCAATTTTACAATTTTTGAAACCTCGAGTATTTAAAGTCTGAGCAAGGATGATGAAAGTTATGAAATACATTTTTTCAAATTTCTGTATTTTAATACTTGCAAGAAAAAAACAACTACTGTTAATATGCTAGTATGAATTACATGTGTTTGATTTTTCAATTTTATAAGTGTTTTTCTCCATGTAATCTCTCAAACTGTTCAAATATGTGCCAGTCTTCACTGTTAAATTCATTTTACATTTTTTTGGGTTGTTTTTCCAAGCCTTTTGATTTTTATTCTTATGACATTCGTATGTATGGCCCTTACATAGTATTGAAAACATACATGCTGATGCATAATAAGAATTATGCTAATTGTCATTGTTTTTCCTAATTTCATCATAGAAACTGTATTTGGAAGGAAATTGTTGTAGTAAAATATATAAGTAAATTTTTCATTTCTCTTTCATTTTGTAATTAATATTTCTTTTTAAGGCATATATCGTGAGCTTAGTGAAGGAATCACTACATGTACTTACACTTGCAATAGGTAAGCTGTTTATTTATTATCTTTCCAAGAGTATTCTAGTTAAATGACAATTGTATTATGTATTTGATTATCCATCATTTTAGACTGTAAGCTAATATAAAATTTAAATACAGAAATTCGATTAAATTAATTTGTTGTGCATTGTTTAGATTTTTAAGGTGTTTATTCTGTATTATTTTAATAAGAAAAAGAATAATTAGATGTGTTAGATTTAAATAATTTGTTTTTCTATAACAGCTAAAAGGTATGGGAATCTTCCTTTAAATAAGTAGTGAAAAATATTATATTTTGTGTGGGCAAAACTTCTAGGGATATCATTGTTCTGATAACTATGTGTCATTTTATCATTGTTCAAATTTTTTATTACCTCAAAAGTAGCATTTGGAGATTTCTTATCCTATTAAAACAAAGTTAATATGAAGAAAATAACGATGCTAATGAAAGCAAAGAAGAAACAGTTTGTAAAAATATGCAAACATGCAATTATTTACAATATTATATCAAGTTTGAATATTTTTGGTTGGAATAAATTAATCAAGTATTATCATAATTTGAATTTTTAGAAACTATTTGTTGTTATGCGTTATGAAAATTGTGAAAATACAAGTTACACCTTCAAAGACAATTTTAATATATTTTAAATTGTCTTGAGAAAAATTATTATAAGTTGCAAAAATTTCAGTATGGCATAGTATGTAATTTTCTCTTTGTTCACTATGCATATTAGATATATTTATAAAATCTGCTTTTTATCTAGTATTTTAATATTACTTCAAATTTAAGCTCATTTTTTATTCAGATTTTTAAAATGCAAAATTAGGATGCTACTTATGTTCAAAGCAAATATTTTAGCATCTTATTTCTGCTCATCTGTCACTCATCAATGATCTTTTTTAAACTTCTTTTTAAATGTTGCATTAGTAATATGGTTTTCACATTTAGCAATGTGCAATGTTAGAAAAATGTCTTGGGTACATATGTGGGATATTTTACAAAACTGGGGAAAATTTTTGCCATCAGTTGTGTCTTGCATAGATGCATGTCATTTTCACACAAGTCAGTCAGATATCCTGAAAGCTAAGATTTCCAGAAATGTTTCTTTCAGTATACAACCATGGCTAGCTAGTAGCTCTGATAGTGATGTAATGATTTAAATGGCACCAAAGAAATTATTCTCTGCTGCAATGGTGTTCATAAATATTCAAGTTTTCAAAAGTGCTTGTATATCTGAAGATGAAATTAGTTAGCTGCCCGTATTTATGCTACTGCCAAAAAGCAAAAATATTTCCTTTTTATTTAATACCTATATTATAAAATCATTTCGATTTTTTTATTTTTCTAGCTTTCTAATTTTAAAATCCTTCTAGGCTTAAATTTGAGGAGTTGCTATTTTTTATTATTTATTTAAATTTTCCACTTTTGAAAGCTGCCTGCTGTGGTTAAATTTGAAGTAATACAGTAATTATTAGATTAACAGATTGCTATTAAGTTTGACAGTGTTTTAATTTTTGCAATGTAAAATTTTTAAACAAATTTCGGTATTTTATTTTTATATTAATGCTGTTTATGCACAATTTGAAATAAAAAAGTTTTTTGTGTCCATATTACTGTAATATTGTAATTTAATTTAACTCCATATTGAATACAAAATTGCACAAAACATGTATTTTATTAATTTCTTAGTCACTTGCTTGTAATTTAGTGAGCAAATTATGTGCAACACACAGACTCTTAAATTGATACATGTGTTTTTTAATCATTTAATAAAATACAATTTTTAAGGTGATGGAGCAAATGATGTAAGCATGATTCAGACAGCTGATGTTGGTGTGGGCATCAGTGGAAAAGAAGGCATGCAAGCTGTAATGGCTAGTGATTTCACCTTAGCTCGTTTCAGATATTTAGAACGGCTTTTACTTGTTCATGGCCACTGGTGCTATGATCGCCTTGCGAGGACCATTTTATATTTCTTTTATAAAAATGCTGTAAGTAAAAATCTTTTCTAAAATTTCTTTTTGTGTGTGTGTGTGTGTGTGTAAATTTTCGGTAGCCTAAGTTATTGGTATTGAGTTGATATTAAGTATACATGATAAATTATGTATTTAAACCATATGTGTGTGTGTATATATACACTGTTGCAAAAATTTTATGCTCCCAGAAAGAATTGTACCGCAACTATGAAACTCAGCAGTAGTATAGTGGTCAAGTAGATACACAAGCATTCAAAAAGTGGAGCAAAAAATGTTTTATTTATGAGAGCAACACAAAGAATGTGAAAATGAATGTGTGGTAAAGCCACCCCTGGCAGTTATACAAGCTGACACTTGGCTGGGCATGAAGTCTATTAAGTTGCCAATGTCCTATGGTAGATTGTGCCCCAAATGGAGCAACTGGTCAGTGAGTTGGGATGTATTTGTACACATCTGAATTTGCCTGCCCAACATGTCCCAAACATGTTCGATAGGTGACAGGTCTGGAGACCTGGCAGGCCAATCGAGGACATTAACACATGAAAGACATTTTTGAGAAATTCATGTTGGAAGAAAAGTAAGTTTACACCTTATTTTCATACAGAAAGAAGTAGGCTGCTTGGCAAACTGTTCTTCTTTGACAGTTTTTAAAATTCTGCATTGAAAGTGAGCTGCTATCATTTCTATGAATATTTTAGTGTGACATTTAGTGAGACATGTTTTAACTGAATCATTTTGATGGGTCATATTCCAGCATGCCTCCACAAAGACAGAAATATTCATGTAATGGTCAGAAGAGTATGCTGATTCAAAAAGTCTCATAGTTTAAGTCATTCTATAATAGTTGTCATGTGCAAAGCAAGTGAACATTTGGAAGATCAAGGAGCAAATTCATTTTCAGGATCATGAAGATTAAAATTTTAAAGAGAAACAAATACTATAAGGATCATATTATTACAGAACAGATTTGATCAGATAGATAAGGGTTGAAAATTCTTGAATCCTAAGCTTTAACCTGTAGATGAAAGCAAGCAATTTTGTTTGCTATTGTACATTCCTTTTTTTTTTTTTTTTTTTAAATGTAAAGTTATCCTTACTTTGTATTATTCTATTTTATTTTTGCTTATGAATATATATTCACATTTATAGAAAAGGGGGCACTGTGAAATTTGTTAATTCTGGTAAAAAAATTAGTTTCAATATGTTTTATAATCATATGTAAATTTCAAAGAAGTATTTCTCCAAAGGTTAGTTCTTTACTTAAACTTCAAGAAATACATGATTTCAGAATATTTTAAGGAATATACATGATTTTCTTGTATATTCCTTAAAATATTCTTTAATAACACTATTTATTTGAATTCGTGTGTAACATTAGTTTCTTGAAATCGGTATAACTTAGAATGTGATATTGAAAAGATAACGAGTCATTTCTTTATGATAAATTCGGGATTCTATGACTGGCACAAGAATATCAGCTTAAAATATTTTGAAAATTAGTAACATTTTAAATGTATATGCAGCCAAAAAAATTCAAAAGCTGGCAAACAAAACTGAAGTATATATGAAAAACCTTTTTAGATTAGATTACCCCCTCTTGATATAGTTAACATGTCTATGTAGACAAAATGCAAAAATTTTTATAGTTGTATGAAATTTAATGTGATTACAGTTGACAACAGTAATAAAAAAGACTTCTATATTTTACAGACTTTTATATTCATTATTTGCTGGTACCAATGGTACTGTGGATTTAGCGCCACTGTCATGATAGACCAAATATATCTCATGTTATATAATGTTCTCTTCACATCACTGCCACCTATTGCCTTGGGAATTCTTGATCAAGATTGTCCTGCTCAGTTGCTTTTGAAGTATCCTTTCCTGTATGGTCAAGGCCGAAGAGCTGAAGTAATTTTATTGCATATTTATATATTCTTTTATTATAATTTGCTGGTATATTCTTTGCTTCTTATGTGTCTATAGCTAATGCTCATTCATTTTATTTAGGTACATACAAAATACTCTTTTTGGGTTAATATGTTAGATGCTATATACCAAAGTATCATCACTTTTTTCATTCCATTTATGGTATGTATTGCATTTAATGACTGTGTATTTTTGTGATTGTAATTAGTTCGTCTGGCCTTTTTAGACTTTTTCCACATTTTAGTTTTACAGGTTCTTGTCTGATAAAACTTTTCACGGTTTTCTATTTGAGTCTTAATATGTATTCTTTTAATCTTATTGTGTATTTTTTGTGTTTCTACTTAAATATTGTAATTTTGGTGCCTAAAGGGTTGTGAAATCATGTAGGGAAAAGGTCTGAGCATTTGAGAGCCACTGAAAGTTAAATTGAAAATTTGTTTTGAAAATAACAATCTTGAATCTCAAATGTCTCAGAGGATCAAAACATGTATTCGGAACTCATTAATTAACTTGGATTAGGGCTTCAAAACACTTTTCCCTTGATAAGTTCTGTTTGAAGCGTTGAACTGAGGAGACTAATACTTCATTTTTATTCCTTATTTTATTGTGTAAAGCTTTCAGTACAGTATCAGTATTTGTAATTTTTACTTGTACAACTTTTGGTTACGACTATCTTTGAGAAACAAAATGGTTAGGGCCTTCATGGAAAGAAATTGTAAACTTTAATTTAAGCTTTGACTATTCCTATTCTTTTAATAATTTTATCATTTTTTTTAATATATACTGATATTTTATAGTCACTTTTTAATATTTGAACACCATTTCCCCTTTCGACTTTTTTGTACATAATAAAGAAAGTATTGTAACTGCAAAACATTTCAGATTTCTAGAAATATCCATTTTGACCAGCACTGAATCTATTTTAATTTTTTTTTTTCATAACATACATATAGACAGATTAAAAGACTCTATTTCAAAGCACATTGTAAAATGAATTTGAAACAAATTTTTTATGATGTACATCTGTATCTGGCATATCTTGTACATCTGTATCTTGCATATCGCAAAAAAAGTTATTCATATAATATTGAAATTTTGTATATGGGATTGCTATAACATCCAGTTTTTCACCTGTCTTTTTGGTTGCAATCAGCTGTGCCAAAAAGGCACTTTGCTCAAGGGTTGTTTTCAAATTTTCTGTGTAATTCAAAAACGGTTAGCCATAGAATGCTGAAATTTTGTATATGGAACTTCTATAACATCTCCTTATGCTCCTCTTTGATTTTTTATTTCCTTCTACAAAGTAAAGTATTGTAATAACCTTCCAATGTATTGTTTTTATTTTCATTTTGTTGTTGTTTACATCATAATAATTTAAGAAATATAGTGTTAGATAAAAGACTTACATTTATTTAAAGAGTAGTAAAAAGATGTTTACTCTATCTTAATATTTCAGGTTAGATTGCTTATTTAATAATTGCATAAATATTTGATGTTAATAAAAACTAATATTTTAGTAATCGTGCATCTGTAATAACTGTGTATTGGAGGATGGTATATCACTTTCAAGTGAAATAAGTTTAAATGAAGTGCAGCAAAACATGTGTAAAATGTAATTGGTATAAAAGGAAGTTAAAATATTAATGGAAACAACATTGTATTTCATTTTAATAAAAGCTTTTAATCACATTTTAAAAATAAACAGTTTTCGTTCTTTCAATAACAGTAAAAAAATATGTAGGAAAATGATGGGAAGTTATTTTCCATAAAATTCATATCGATTATTTCTTTCTTTTTGTGGTATTTTCTAATATAAAGTATATCTTTCACTTATCATCATATATACATACAGTCAAAAGTCGTTAATCCGGACTCGTCAGTACTTCAGCGATTCCGGATTATAGATCATCAGTTTAAATCTCGTAAGATGGCATGCAGAAATTCTAAAATTAAAAATATGAAACCGTAATTTATGAAATAAAGAACAATTATGATCTAAAGGGTATCAAAATTTACAAAAAAAAAAAAGCTTAATATTTATTTGTTTACTTTATTAAACATTTCTTTCAATGTAAGTTGTTTAAGTTGCTTTGTTTTATGTGATAATACTTTTTCTTTTTAATTCTATAAACAGACATAATTTCTTGTTCAGTTACAAAGTTCTGCTGTTCAAGTCCCATAATTGCTGTGCAGAGAATACCGACTAACTTGTCAATCGAAATTTTTTCATTTTCACTAACATCTCTTTCACCTTCTTCATGTCTTTATCCATTTTTTGCAGCAATTCCACTTTTTGTTTGACGGACATCGAAACATACTTTCGTTTTGTAGATTCTTTGGGAGATCCAGCATCGGAAATTTTATTTGACATAATCGAAAGTTCAAGTTTACTTTTATAAAATTGCTCTTACAGTCTGCAAAAAATAAGCCACATCCAATTAGAAGATTAAGGAACAACGCAATCATCAACATTAACTGAAATAGATAATTAGATAATTTTAGCTTATACCGTCCGTTATACATTAAACGCACACGCGAAAATGTATTCTGCGCTTGCACACACGCATATGTGCAGTCGTAAAGGTCTTACACACACACGTAAATGCCTATGCGCATGTGTCAACGCGGCGCATGCGCAGAAAGTTTTTAGCTTTGAGGTCCGGATTATAGATCATTCCGGATTATGGGTGTCCGAATTAACGACTTTCGACTGTATATATGTACATACATATATATATATATATATATATATATATATTTAACATTATAAATGTTTGTTTTTTTATACAAATATACTGTTTAATTCCAATCTTTACGAAACTTGCCACACTTGCCCTTCAAAACAAGAGGAAGACCACTGTCTACTTAAGATAATAAAATAATTTAACATTTCATGCATGTTAATACATTAACATCCATATTATTGCACCACATGCAATTTCTTTGCTTTTTGAAAGTGAATTTGTAATTGGTCATCACAAAACATTGTTTTCACTGTGGAATCAGTTATACCCCAAAACGAAAATCGGTTGTTCAGTTGATCTGCACCTCAAGCACAAAAGAAAAAGGCATCACAAGCTTCAGAGACAAATAAGCAGTGGGAAGCAAAACTGGAAAACATTTGCATACACACTCATATGAAACAAATTAGCAATGGGAAGCAAGACTGGGAAAATGTTCTAGTGTGCACTGCTCAAGCCTTTTCATTTGGAACTGACGAGCAAGAGGAAGCAAGACTGGAAAATGTTTGAGTATGCACTGCTCGATCCAGACAAACACAGCATTCTTATTTAAATCTTTGTGCATTTCATTACGATGCTAGTTATGAATATGGTCTTCATCCAAGTAAGGCTATTAGAAAGATAGATAAATGATGCATCTATTGCAGAGCCCTCAAAATTAAGAATGAAATACCAGAAATGTGCTGCGTGAGTGGGAAAATGAAATTCCCAAAGTTAAATTCTTCACCCGAACCATTATCAACCTTGGTATCAGGTGACGCAAGCCAGTCGCAACAATTTTTTGGCAAACATACGCAAATACAATTCATATTTTCAAAAGACATTGTTTGATTCAACAAATATCATTCCAGCTTCGTTGCTGAGGATCCTATGAGTGTGTTTGTCCATTATTGAATCAAATTCAGTTAGCAATTGAATTAACTTCAGAAAATTTCCATTTTTATGCTTGTCACTTGTACCTCAAAAGGCTAGATAATTTTCACCAAGTGATTTAACAGCTAACATTATGCATAAAATTACTTTATGCCTATATTTAATTTCAGAATTAATTCATCTTTGTATAGCTAAATATACTGTCTGACAAGTTTTCAAACAACATCTTAGTTCTAATCATAATTTCAAATTATCTACATGGGTTTTTGAGTCTTCATGCCTTCTTAATATCTCACGAATATTTTTCCATTTTCTGTAACCATCATTTAAAAACGAACTCTATTTTAAATTACCAAAAATCTGCTACAAAAACAGATGTGGTATGGTGTATTTAATTATGGCAAAGCACATGAGGGCTATCTGCCTAAAGGGAGGGATGCCTTCGTGGAGGACTTTCTAAGGGAAACCGGCTCGTATACACGTTACACATGGGGAAAACCACGAAAACGCCCATGCAGCCAGCCCGTTCGCGGGACTCGAACCTCAGACCGAACTACCAGTGTTCAGCGACTTTACCGCTCGGCCGCTGGTGGGCCCTACAAAAACAGAACACAGAATCTTTTGACTCTGAATATACCAGACAATCTCTTGACACATGTTCAGCTTTTTTTTTTTTTTAAATTTTGTGATACTGTATTTGATATTGTTGCGGGAACTTAGAATGTTAAAGGTGCAGGTATAACAAACAATGTAAATGTTAATCATTCTTGTTAAACTCTTTAATTTCTCTTACTCTGAACCAGGCATGATGTTAGGAAAATCTTTGTAACAAATGTATGGCCAAAACATTTTCACTAAGAAATCAGTCATGTGGATGCACTATACCTTTTCTAATTAATTATTCAGCTACCTGATAGGAATAATGCCAAAGTGAAAATAAATGTAAACTGTTCCCCCTCCCAAGTCATTGAAATTGGAAACATTTTTTCAAGTTTGACTTTCAAAAACTCATTTTGATAAGTTGTATATTTTAGAATGTTTAAACTTTGTCTACAAAAATGTATTCCTTTCAGGCATACTATGACTCTGATGTAGGAATTTGGGAATTTGGAACTACAATATGTACTGCTTGTGTTCTTGGACAGCTTTTACATCTTGCTATAGAAACTCGTTCTTGGGTAAGTTTGTACTCTTTTCTTTATACATGTGCAAAGAAATATATTATGACAACATTAATAAACAATAATTCAGATTTTGTATGTGTGTATATATATATAATTCAGTATTCAGTTTGCCATAAACTGTAATTAAAGTCGTGCTTTGTTTAAAATAGTTAGTTTGCATTTGAATTGATGACATAATTAGTTATTTTTATTTAGATAATAATCTCTTGTTTATTTCATGTATTATTATGCTAAATAAATTTTCTATACAGTATTTTATTGAAATACTCTACCTGAACAATGAACTCTTTTCTGGATTATTATAATTATGTTTTTCTAATGTTTGTATATTTAGAATTTGTAAATCAGTGATTTAAAATTGCTTAGTTTTTACACAATGTCAAAAAAAGTACTCAAAAGCATTTTCACTGTAAGCAAATTTTGCAATATAATATTTGAAGACTTTTTTGTTGTGTCATTTTCATGAAGCATTGAAAAAAGTAGTACTCTAAAAATTTGTTCATGTTATTAACTGTAACACATAGTCTTGAAATGTCGCTGAATTCAAGATAGATTCAGAAATATCCTGTAATAACAATGTTATTATTTGGTATTCTTTCTTAAATGTGTTCAAGATAATAAGTGAAAAAAATTCCTTACTACCAAGTTGTAGGTATTGTCGTTATAACTGAAACTCTTAAATTTACTTTATGCAGCATTAAAGTAATTATAGCTTTCTATTTTTTATATTCCTCTTCAATTTAGTATTAAGACAGTTTTAACTAGAAAAACTGATATATTACAGGCATAAATCTGCATTAATTTGCACAGTTTTTTAAAGTCTAAATGTTATGTTAAATGCTTTTTGGAGTTTTAGGCCAGAATTATTTCAAATGATTCTGGTTAAGTTACCCAATAATAGTTAGAAATAATGATAACTATTCACTCCGAGCTTGTAATATTAAAAATATTATCTGCTAATAGAGGAAACTTTTAAATGGACTTTTTCGTTTAAATTTTATGGAGCAATAACTGCTATTAAGCTTCTTTTAATTAAATCAAAAGTAGAACATCTACTTGCAGTAAAACTATGATTAAAATCGCAAATGATAATCCCTGTTTTTAAATTGTAACTAATAATGAAGTTACTGTTTTGCTAATAACCTGCAAGCAAAATAGGTAGGAGAAAATTCACCATGGCCACAGCAACATTGGATTTCAGAAACCTCAAGTGAATACCATATTATTGTACTCTGGCAGTTTTGCTCAAAATTCATGTGAGAAAGGCAAAGAGTCCATGTTCCATGTTTTAATGAAAAGTAAAGGACTGTCTGTTGAGAAGAATTTAATACATTAGACTTGTATTGTTAAAGCAAATGGCATGTTTTTGTGCAGAATAATGATTTCAGATAATATAACTATTATCAAGTGATTTACAGGAAATATAAATAAGTAAATAAAGGGAATATTATAATATTATATATGTGTATGTAAGTTAAAAACAAATTAAATCAAAATTCTAATTTGCAGTAGTCCCTTAAATCTCTATTTTAATTTGGTTATTTCCCCTTTCCATCGTAGAAATAGTAACTGCGTATAATAATAATAATAACTTTATAAACTGCATCACTTGAAAATTAATGTTGCTTGTTTCTTGCATAATGCTCATGTTGCAGATACTTACATATGCTTCAGCCAATAGTAATTTCCAAACTTAAAATAAACCAATAGGGATAAAGCTACATTAAAATTAAATAATTCTGCACCAAATTTTCATTTTGGAAACATCGGCATTCCCGCTTTTCCTTGCTGTTCTGCCAAATGTTGTCATTCACCTCTCTTTTATCAATTCTCTTATCATAACGATATAAAAAGGCCCAAATATGATCAAGATCAGTGACATAGATTGCTCCTTCACACTGTATAACACAAATTAAGAATTTATTTCTCAAGAAATGTTTTGTTCAGAAACAAAATATATTCAATTAGCCATGAATGCTGTTTGTGTTTCATACATCAATTTCTAAAATATATTTATATATATCATATTTTGTAATCATCCCAATCACTTAAAATGGTGCCTTAAGGCAGCTTTTGATTTTGCATTCACAGACCTAGTGAATTTGGCAATGGATAAAAAGGCAGCTGTTAAACAGTCATAAGGTTATTTCATTCAAATAAGGATTTTTTGTGTGAATATTGATATTTGTTAAGAATCTTAATTTCTAGTCTAAGTAACTGAATATGTTAAACACGTTAAATCCAAAATCCAAATGATGTAAATTTGACATTTATCGTTGATATATATATATAATTAATTGGAACAGAGAATTGAGACTAAAGATTTTGGCAAAGTTTTTTAAATTAATTTATAAAAGTTTCGCATACAGTTTTAATTGTCTGTTTTGGCGAAATGCGGTATGGAGTTTAAAAATAATTTCCCCTGAAGAGCCAAGATGAGATTCGAATTAGGCTAATCTACCATTTACCGCTTCTTAGTTTTTTTTATATTTTTGCTTAAATCATTTGTCGCACTTTAATAATTAAAATATGCCTTACTTTGATTAGCATATTCCTTACAATTAGTATTGAATTTCATTTGTATATATTCATGTGTTTGTATTGTTTATTTTATCTTTATAACACATTTCATTGCACCTTATTTTACTTATGTTAATATTTTCAGGGAAACACAGTATCTAAGCAACTTTTTAGCGTATGAACTAGGAATTTTCTTTTAACTTTTATATATATATATATGTATACATTAGAGCATTTTAAAGTGCTTTTTTGAAATAAGCAATAAACTTTCATGAGAATTAAGTTTTGTATTTTATCCTACCTGCCTCCTGGAATATCAATTTAAATATTTTTAATGACAAAGTATAAATAATAGTATGTTTGTACTATGTGTTGAAGACTGTCATTTTGCTTTTCTCAAAACGGAAGGTTTTGGTTAAATTTAGTATTAAAAGTTTCCTTAATTTTCCTAATTTAAATCCATGTGCATGACTTAAACTTGCTGTTAAAACATAGGATTTATCATCATCTCTTGTTGCTAATATACAAGGTCTGTCCTGAAAGTAATGTCAGTAAGTCTTTTAAAAATCATTTATTGAATTTATTGTTACAAGTGTTTAAAAATCTTCAAAATAGTCTCCTTTTGCATCGATACATCGGCTCCAGCAAGACTTCCAGTTCTCAAATTGGTTGTGGTAGTCCTCCTCTGGAATGTCCTTTAATGCTGCAGTGCAAACTACTTTAACCGCATCCACTGTTCCAAAATGCTTGCCTTTCAGGGGAGTTTTGAAGCGAGGAAACTGAAAAAAGGCGGGGATGGTGCCAAGTCCAGGCTATGGGGGATGGGGGATCGTTGGCACCCCTGCTTTGACGATGCAGCCAGTGACGATGAAGGCACTGTGGGCCGGCACATTATCATGGTGCAATTTCCAGTTGTCTGCGATGTCCGGCCAGATGCATTGAACCCTGTGTTTCTGTCGTTTGGGGACTTCCACATAAAATTTGGAGTTCATGGTGATTCCAGGTTCTACAAACTCATGATAAGTCAGTCCATGGATGTCTAAAAACATGAGGAGCATGATCTTGATCTTTGATTTGCTTATCCTGGTTTTCTTCAGGCAACAGGAATATGGCGTGTGCCACTCCAATGGTTGCTTTTCGTGTCCAGGTCATATTCAAATACTCGTCTCATCACCTGTAATGACGTTGTCCAAAAATTTTCAATCACGTTTGCACATGCTGAGGTTTTCTTGGCATGCTTCCATGCTCCATGATTCTTGGTTACCAGTGATCACTTTTGGAACTAATTAAATCAAAATTTGCACACACCTTCCACATGACGATATGGTTTGTAATGATTTCATGAACTTGAGTTTTCGGAATGTTTATTTTGAGTTTTCGGTCTGAGTTCAACAGCTCCCTCACTCGCATCACATTGTCAATCTTGGTGGTCATGAGTGGCCGTCCGGCGTGGTCCTCGTTGTCAACTTCTTCCCGGCCTTCCGAAAAGGTCTTGTGCCATTGAAACACTTGCCAATCTGACAGGGCATATTCTTTGTAAGCAGTCTTAATCATAGTAACAGTTTCTGTAGCAGTCTTGCCAAGTTTCATGCAAGGCTTGACCACAAAGCTTTGTTCTAATGAGCGCTGCATTTTCACTTGCACAAGATAAAAAAATAACTGTCCACTCTCATTTTCTGGGTGCTCAAAGCACACTGAGCGATGCCATGCTGCTTTGTTGGGTTCTCCCACTGCAGTTTCAACCAGTTAGACCATGCTCGGACGTACAGTCATGTCACAATAAATTCACTGACATTACATTCAGGACAGCCAGCGTATGTATATATAGAGAGAGTATATGAGAAACTGAATGACAGAATTTTATTTTCTAGACCTATTTACATGTCATATCACTGCTGGTCAGTTTCTTCATATATTTTGGTTTTGCTGTGATGTATAATGCATGGCCATACATGAGTGTTGGCAAAGAAAGTCTCCAAAACCCTTATTGGGTAATAATTCAAGTGATGAGGTCTTCAGTGTTCTGGTTTTGTACTCTCATGGTTCCTATATTAGCCTGTCTTCCTAGGTAAGTTTATTGTATTGAAATTTTTTCTTTATTATGGGATATTTGGGAAAGGAGTTAATGAATGTAATTTAATTAGAACTTTGCAGAGATTTAAAAATTATCATCTTCTCTTTATCAATGTTGAAAAATTAGCATTAGAAGATATTTCACTAAATGAACCTCAGAAGCTGTTTTTAAATTAAGTGTTGTAACAGCTTCTGTGAGAGAAAAGGTTTATCTTTACTTGATATTATAATATTTTCCTATAAGATTCATGCTTGACTCAAATGGTATTGCATAAAAAAGTAATATTAAATATATGCTTCTATGTGGTAACAATTCATTCAAACTTTGTACTGTAATCTATTTACATCTGCAACAGAATTTTTTCCTTATTCTAATGGATATATCCATTATGTTAATGCTGTTTAACTATTTGTGCCACATAGGTTTAAAATTGTTCAAAAAAGCAACCTATAATTTGAGTAAATAACACTTTTATCATTTTCGAAGGAAATCTCACTTAAGTCCCTTTTCTTCATTTTAACATTAAATTCATTTAAAAAATTTTGTCATAAATCTCTCTTCTACAGGCAGTTTTTTAAAACTCCCACAGAAGATAGAGCTGTGTCAGATCACCATGGAAATTTAAAAATTAAAGTTTTACTCAAAATGTATAGCCCTTTTTTTTATCTCATTTTAATTTTTACAATGACATGCTTCTCTACCAATTAGACATATAGGTTTATTTATACAATTTTAGAAGCAACTGAAAATATAAAATAAGAAAAATAATTAAAAGTATGTTTTGAAATTTTATATAGTTGGATTATGAGTGCATATGGGAGCTTATCATTGTTTGGAATTCCTTGTATTACTCTCTAACTATCTGTTTGGCAGGTTTTAAAAATTACACCATTCTACAGCTTCAGTGAATTTTATCCCATCTTTTATAAAATAAATTTTATTGAAAAATTTTACTGCAAATGTAACTGCAAATGTCATAACATATATATCATACTTGGAATTGTCAACAAATAGATGCATATGAAAATATAGGAAAAATATTATAGTTTAAAGAAGTTAATTAAAATTGCATTGTTTATACTTTTAAAATAAAATTTTATTTTAAATTGTTCTTCAGAATTATTTAGAGAATACAAATATTCACTTGGATACAGTTGGAACATATGAATATTTTGTATGGATAGCATAAATGTATCGTTTTTCTATATTTATAAAATATACATGTTTTCTTTTTCTTTTTTTTTCCCCCCCTGTGGGAATCTTCTCTTCCTTCTTTGCATTCAACGGAATTTTTGCATACAGAGATTTAAATATAATGAAGAAGATATTTATTTGCAATTGTTTTTTTTAATGATGTTTAAAAAAATCATAGAAAGGTGATTATCCTGGAAAGTAAAAATTCATGTTAAATTATGTTACAGCTTCTGAAATAAACTCTGTCTGGAAGACTATTTTCTGATTTAGCCAGTGATACAAGAAAATTCTATGATGATTAGTTTTATTGTTAAGCCTGTATATATATGAGAAAATCAGAAAAAAATCTCTTCAGCTTTTAAACAAAATGTAATCAAATTCTGAAAATATTACTTTGAGGACTACGTAATAATCTCTGGAGAACATATGCTGAATTTAGTAGCTGTGGTTCTTTATGCCTCTGCACTGTTTTTTCACCAACAAACTTTTCTATTATTACAGATTTTATGCTGACATTTTTTATGGATATACACATTTCTGTTTTTAAAATATAATCACTGTTTCAGGTTAGTCTTGCGATCTCTACAGGGTAGTTTGTTTCCCTCTGAAGTGTCCAAGACCTTATATTTCTTTAAAAAATCTCAGACATCTTCTGTAGCTTCTACAGTTTCAGTTGCATGGTCACGAGATTCCAGCAATGAATCATCTGTTGATTTAGGAATAAACTCTGATATCAGAACTGGTTTCCACGGAACACAGATGTTCTGGTGACAACATCCATGTGCCACATGAACTCTCTAAAAATGGTGCCATAAGTGCGTAAGAATATGCATTAAAAATGTGTTATAGTTGGAAAATTTTTGTTTTTGTTTACTAAATAAATGTTATCAAAATATTAAATATGTCTTGTGAAAGTGCTGTATTAATTTGCCAACCAAAGTGGAAATATTTATTCCTCTGAAAGTGATACAGATTTTATGCATTAATTTTATGCATTAATTTTAAATTGACGTCAATTTTTATTTAACTTTATCATACAAAGGCTTTCAGTGGGTCACACTAATTATATTCTGATAAATAGTTTCTAAATGGCATTTCTTTATTCATGCTCGTTTCATACTGAATTTAGTGTGCTCATTTAAGAAAACATTTATCATTAATTTAATAACATAACAGCATTTTAAATTCACATTCCTTTATCCACATTTATTTAATGTGAAATGGACAAATAATTGAATTTAATTAAACAGTATATTTAATTTATGTAACTAGATCTATTTTATATTCTTAATTTCCCTTCAAAGATATATTATTTGAAATGCCTGTTATTATTTTGGAAATATTTTAAGAATTGTTTGGTTAAATATTTTTCATTTTAAAGTTTTGTTTCAATTAAACTGAATTATTTATACCTTTGTTATTTGAAAATGCTGATTCTGTGTCAAAGTTACTGAAGACAGTTATATTCTTATTTTATATCAAGTAAAAATTTTTAAATTAATAATTTTATGTATAATGGTAGTATTAAATCATATGTACAAAATAATATAATCTAAAAGTTGAAACAAAAAAGGTCATGACATGTTTTCTCATTTTAATATTAAAATGAATGTCATCAGTTGAGGGATGAGATGCAATAATCAGGTGATTTTATTTTTCTTATACAAAAGAATATATCAGGAATAAATATTCTTCTTCTTTTCTCATAACAAGAATGTTAGAGACATATAAGTATCAATATTTGATGGGAGCCCATAAAGATAACATGCAAGTTTCATCTCCAGGTAGAGACCCTGTATGTCAGATTTGCATGTAACTTGTTTGACCAGGAATATGCTACCATTTTCAGTTGCAAAAGTTGCATTTCAATCTGCAAATATGTTTTAATACAAAACATTAGATTTTCTTGAAGAGCAGTTGATGGTTTTTTAAATGATTTCAGTGTTGATGAACAGTTACTTACAACAGTGAGTCAAGCTATCTGAAGAACCATGCAAATTCTTAATCAAAGCAAAAATCAAAACTCCATAAAAAAAATGGATTCATTGCACTCTTAAGCTAATGTCTTTAGTCACTCAATAGTTGATTTAATTATGAGATTGTAATTAAAGTTAAAAATTATGTTGTGACTTGTCTCACCTGTCTGCCTCTAACATCAGAAGTCCACAAATTTTATCATACTTAGAAATGCAGGATGCCATCTGTCATTGGCATGACCATGGCACCCTATAAGTGATAGTATGATTCTGCCTATTTCCATCCGAACTTTGAAGAAGAATCGCTAGGGACAAATCCAAGAGTTTTCTACCTCACCAAGTATTTCGGCCTTCCCCTACTGCTAAACAATATGAGAAGATTTCTGAATTTCACCATGTGTTTTAAGTGCCCTCATCCTGCAAAGTACTCAAGCCTTTTCTAGAAATCAAATTTAGGCAGCTAGAAATGTTAACCACTTTATTGATTGAGGGCTGTTAAAAAATAAAAGCAAATGGTTAACATTAACATTTTTAAAACTTTTAAAGAAAATGGGTTTTTTCCCCCTGCTGCTATTTGTATCAAACTAAATCTTTTTTTGTTCTAACAAAAAAGAGAAAAAGTACTCTTGATTTTTTAAAATATGTTTATGATAAAATTTAAAAAATAAATTACAGCTCATTTTTAAGAAATTCTGTAGTATCACAAAAAGCAATTTTAATGATTCCAGCTTTGCAGATCATTCCAATGAGTGTTGACAAGCTGATATTCTGCATGTAGAAAAGGAGTGATTTTTTCGACTTATAAATCGTAATGTATTGAACAGGACCAGGACCATGAAAAAAAGTTGTTTTTTGCTGCTGTTGTTATTTTTTTATTATATCATAAGTCTCCCTTAATGTTATATAATATTTACAAATAATATATTTGTAAAACATATTATATTTGTATTTATTTTTAGACCTGTATTCATTTGGATGTATAAGGTCCATATGGACAAAAACTTTTATTTTTTCCTTTGTTCACCAAAATTTTATGTGCCACTGGTCTACCTAAAACCGTTATTGCATTCAATTATACATAGAATATGTTTCTTTTAGAATATGTGCATCAGAATCTGAATGCATGTCATATTATCCAAAATATATGCTGTCTGAATCTGGATACAAATGATGCTTATGTATTAAAGATATAATCCAATAATATTCTCTAAGCTTATATTTTTTATGAAAAATATCACATAAAGGATGTTTATGTGATAATCACATAAATCACATAAAGGATGTTTCACTTTAGTTTGTTAATAAAATAAATTCATAGCTTATTTAAAAAGAATTAAAACTATGTTTCTATTAAATATTGAATGATTTACTAATTTTAATTCTTAAAAGTGCTGTTCTTACAGAAATATCTTATTTATTTAAAGACTTTGTGCACTTGCTTTCTCATCTAAATCTTCAGTTTTTTTTTTTTTTTTTTTTTTTTAATACATTTTCAACTTACTTGATTATTGCATCAGATCTCTCAGTTGGTAGTGCTAACTGCCATTTGAAGATGTAACTTTTTCCAAAAATAAGTGGAAAAGGTAACAAAGTTTTTAAATGTGCCATTTTTTCCCTTCATGTTCCTAGATTATAATCATTTCGTATAAAAAAAATATTTGTTATTTTGGTTAAATATATAAAACTTATAAGCATTTTCCAGCTTCTCGAACAATCTGTGAAGAATTGTTTATCATTATTGCTTCCTGAAGTATTGTCTAATTATATCAAAGCACATTCCTAGTCATGTCATAATTATTAAAGAAGTTACAAATATTAAGCTTCTAATTGATTTTATGACGTTTATTGTGTAATATTATTTCTGTGCTTGCCACTCTTGCCTCTGTTATTTTGTACTTAATTCATAATTTGTTGAAAGCTTTAATAAATTTTAATAAAAATTATGTCAGATTATTCAATTATTTTTTTTATTTACAGACTTTTACTATATAGCTACGTGAATATCATTATGCCTCCAAGGAACATTAAATGCTGTCCTTATATATGAATAAAATCTTTCACTGTGAGGTAGCATTTAAGCTTAAGAATAGCACAGAAATTACTGTCAGATTAGTAGGATATTTTTATGCATAATTAAAAGAACCACCATAAATTGAACAGTATGTTGCTGATACTAACTACTGAGGTTATGAATTCTGTTAATCTTACTCATGCTATCTTTAACCTCTAAATTCAAGAAGGAAACAGAAAGCATTTTGACTAGTGCCTTCAAAGGTAAAATTATTTTGAAATTGCTAACTAAATTCCAGACCGCATTTCTTGGCATGAAACGTCAATTGTTTAGAAGATAACTCACATTCAAGTAAAATGTACAACTATTTTGGAAAACCCACGTCAAATATCTTACTGGAAGAGCATTTAGGATTTTTCAGTGAACTAAGGCCACTTACTGAAAAGTGCTCTGTAGTAAGTTTTATATCATAAAACTCATATTTTTACTGTAATCATTCAGATCATAGTTTGTACTAAACAACGATTAATACTTGGTGTTGTTAAACAAAAAAAAAACAAAAAAAAACTAAATCCTGACTTTTAGCAGGGGCAGAGCTGCAGTTATTTAATGCTTTTGATATGTTAAACTTATTAGTGTAATTTGTTACTTTTTTTCATAAAGTTACTGTCGCGATTGTGCTTTGGTTCAACCTTGTGGACAGTCATAGTGAACAGAGCACTTAATCAATTCAACAGCTCAATCGGAATTACATGCACAAGCATGTGCAGACGGCATCTTTATAATAATACGGTTGAGTGCCAGAAGAAGATTTTATAACAAAGCAGATCAAGCGTTAGACTGTCTCGCAAACTGGTGCTACTGGAAATCCCGAAACCCTAATGAGGCCTCCAATTTTCAAAATTAAAAAACACTCAGATAAGTAAACCTTTAAAATATTTTGGCATTATTTTATATGATGAATTCAATTGGAATCCGCTTATAGAATACCTGAAATATAAAATATCTCAGCAGTACAACAGTCTGCTCGGTTGACAGGGAAAACCTGAGACATTTCCTCACTACTTCTAAAAATGTGGTATCACATGGTGACAGTGCCAACAGTCTGCCATAGATCATCAACTTGGTGTAGCACGTTAAATGTACAAAGTCAGAAAAATTCTCAGCCTGCAAAGGCGGTTATCCCTCTTAATCCCCAGAGCATACAGGACTGCGACGACAAATGAGATACTCAGTTTTGCAGGCCTCAAACCACTAAATATGTTAGCGCATGAATGGGGCATAGCGGCAAAAGTCTTAAAATTAAGAGTAGACATCATCACACACGATGCTACCTATCTGAACAGTGACTGTGAGAATACCGTACCATCGGCAAAAAACCATCTTGCAACTATGAGGCCTTTATAAGTGATATAGTAGAAGGGACAGTAGAACTTTAAATATATACCGATGGTTCAAATTTGAAGATGGTACAGCCAGTGCTTTCTGCACGAAGCTGAGGATTAACTGTATTTATCAATGGTGAAGTAGACTAAGAAATCTGAATTATGTCTTTTAGGCACGATTATTTGTAATTCTCAAAGCAGTAAAATCGGCTATCTGTTAAAACTTTAGAACAGTTATACATGTAGGTAGCATACCATGAAGTGGTGAAAGAAAATGAATTTGTATATGTTATTAGGTAACCTTTTCTTGGTAGCGATGGTCTCATCAACCTGCAATGGATCAAAGCCCATGCAAGGCACAAGAAAAATTTAAAAGGGGACATGCTGACAAAGGTAGTAACAACGCACATGTTCCCGGTTACGGGACATATTTCCAACCCGGAGTCAACACTGAAGAAAAACAAAATAAATGTGCAACAGCTGATAAAGGCAAAGAGAACAGAGACATCGGGGCGTATCACCCATGGCTAATATCTTCCACTAGTTTCGTCAGTCCCAAAATCAGGACGTTCCATGATGACCAAACAGTCTGCATAAGTTTGTCCCCGACTCTACATAACCTCATCTCTAAAGATATGTTTGTTTAGGCAATTTGAGACATTACTTACATGAATGCACCCTAACACAGGACATGCATCTCTTGAAACCCCTCCGAAAATAATCATGAGACCTGGAAAACTTGACTAATACACAGTGAAAAAGGTCTAATGAAAGCTGTCAAGGTAATTGCATATATTAATGCTAATGCTGCTAATATTTAGGCCTTTCGCATAGTATACTACTCCTATCTCAGAACTGACTATTGCAAAGTACACTGCCCTCCAAAAGTTCAAGAACAGCATGTTTTTTGTGTCTAATTTGAGAATGAAGTAAGAGCATGTTCACTAAACAGTTCTTTAACGAATCCAACATAGAATTTTCTAAAGTTCAACACAAACATGAATTACAACAAAAAATTATACTCTTGGCAGAGAAATCCAGTCATGGAGAAAAAGTACGTTACAGTTTTTTGAGGAAAAATGGGGTGGTAACATTACAAAAATGGGCTCTAATAAATAATGTGTCTACCCATAGCTGCAATACATTGGCGGCAGCGACGTTCTATGTTGTCAATTAAGTTGTCCGTCAGTGAAATGGGAAGCAATGACCAGACACGGAGTAATTTTTTCAAGCTCATCCAGCGATCTTGAAAGAGGACTTATAGCACCAACCTTTTTCCCAAGGTAGTCCCAAAGATGCTCTATCTGATTCAGGTCTATACTGTGACCCTCAAGATATTTTTCAGCAACCCGAGCTCGGTGCGGTTGCGCATCGTCCTCCATCAAAAGGAATCCTCGACCAGTAGCAGCGGCATATGGGAGGACATATTGATCAAAGATCTCGTCACCATATGCCACACCGCTCATGGAACACATGCAGTTCCCCCATGGAACATATGCAGATCAGTGTGACCACCGAGAGTGATCTCAGTCCAAACCATTATTCCATCACGTCTGTAAGTATGTCTTTCCATAGTGTGGGATTGGTTGTATCTGGTGCATTATTCCCTCCAGATCAGCTGTTCGCCTGAATCATTCTTCTTTGTGAACCTGGACTCGTCTGTGAAGAGAACAGACGCCCATTTTTGACTGGTCCAGGAAACGTGCTCTCTTGCGCAGCATAAATGGGCATCTCTGTGTCCTCGGCTCAAGAAGAGAAAAAGATCTGATCGTCTTGTATACAGATCTGTATTGTGTAGGAGTCTGCCCACTGTAGTAGCTGAGATTCTTGTTCCTGTTGCCACTAAATAATATGCCATGAGCTGAAGCACGGTAATGTTGCTCCTCTTTTGTTCCGTAAGTGTTAAATAACGGTCTTCCGCAGATGTTATAATTCTTGATCTGCCTGAAACATATCTTCTAGACACAGAATCCTCGGATTCATCCATAGCCGGTGGACCACACTACAAGAGACATTGAGAAGTCTAGCAGCATCGGCTTGTAGCATCCCCATTTCCAGCCATCTGATCGCCTACCACCTCAAGCAATCGGGCAAACGGATTCTCCTGGACATGACAGACTCTCCTAGATATTGTCAACGAAAATGCCAGTAACAATTGATCAACATTCGTGAACAAAACTTAAAATTTTCGCATTTTTTTCTCAAACTCCTGTAAAAGTATTCATTTCTATAAAATAAAAGTGGTAGCTATAGTTTTTTAAAATATTTTCTTAAACTTCTTTACTCTCATGCATGTAAACTGTGAATTTAAATGTTGCTGGCATTTTTGTAATTGTGGGCTTTGAAAACATTTTGGAGGACAATGTTCATTTCTTAATCTCACATAACATTTAATCTACAACGCGCATATTTTCTTACATTGTCTAAGCCGTTATTTTGTGAATAATATGTAAATATTTTTTGTGAATTATTATTTTGGTACTTTAATATATTCTATAAACATTTTCTATTATACTTGGCACAGTATGCGGTTCCATGAAACATCTGAAATTCAATAATTTTTTCAGTGCAACTTTTAAGCTTATGATGTACTGTTTATTCACTAGCAACACAGGGTTCCAATGTATTTCCTTCAAGGACCTTGTATTCTCATGTAGTACTTTTCCGGGACTTACTCGTGGTGCACAGCTAGTAGTTTCCACTCCCCTCCAGAGGACACGCAATAATAGCTTAAGCATAATAGCAGGTTCATGGGGGGTGTAGAGGAAAGAGAGGTACTTTCGCGAGTATTTTAACTGTGTGTCAGGTACCCAAGAATTCTCTTATAGACGAGTCTAGATGGAACTGACAGAGAAGATTTATGGAAAAAAATGAAGGAATCGCCATAACATAAAAATAAACATTTAAAAAAATTTAAAACTGTGGCATAAAACATAACGATTTGTTTTTGTTACCTTTCAACATTTAATCTTTTATTTTTAAAAAATGTTATTATTATAATGTAACATTAGCTAAGGAATGCAAAAGACTAAAAGGTAATAAAAATCGTAAAAATTTTTATTGATTTCAAATTCAGAGTACTGAATATAATTTTTATCCAACTAAAGTAATATCGATTCGCATATTAAATATTCTATATCTGTTTTGTACGAAGTGTTCATTGATGTGATTATAAATGAAGTTCGGATTATTAAACGTAAAGATTAAAACACTTGCGCGATTAAAGTACGCGGTTTTGAATTGCGTGACATTTATTTGTTTGAAAATTGCCAAACTGTTCTTATGAGTTTCATTATCAACTATCACTCCAATTAACTGAGCATTTGTTATTTTTCTGTTTAGATGTCGTTGCGTATAATGAACCATAAAAACTCATTACATGAACTTGGAGCACTTTTCAAAAAGAGTTCGCAAACTCCGCGCAATTTTTCGATGCAACGATCATTCTACTAAAGCCACTTTATGCGGTCGATTCGAGGAATCTGAATCACAAAATCACCCTTACGAAATCTTGAGCAGAACAAAGGATTGCAGTGCTGCAGAATAG